CATCTTTTTAGGGTGCTCTACTGTTTTATAATGTTCGAGGATACCTCTAAATTATACCTGCTAATTATACACTAAATGTACACACGAGTTTCTTCTTCAGTGTTGGCAGCATCGCCTGTTACCACAGCAAGTGTTAAACTATCCATTCATCATCGCTTGTTGGTATTTTCGTCAGTCTATATGAAGAAACACATTTCATCAATAGAAAAAAATAATAGATAATAGTGTAAACAGGTGTTAAGTTATTTAACTGTTCACAATGGATTATATTTTACAACAAAGACCACCAGCAACATGTAATATTCGCGCATGCGTATACAGTGTGTGAAAGTCGGTCTTCCGAGTTAAATTAACAGCAAATACTAACAACAGTGGACCGATTTACTAAACACGCCAATTTCAAGATTCTAGAAGTCTGAACCGGACAATGCCTATTTAGAACAGCCAGGTACAATACTACATAGATCGTGCGTCAGCTATACTGAAAACTGTTTCAATACTCAAACCTTTATTGTGTGTTTTCTGTAAATGTATTGTGAAAGATGTCTGAATAGTTAACTGTCAAGACAGCCAACAACATTCCACGTGGTAAACGGATAAATTGTAGACGGTTCATAAACATTTTCCTTAACCCTGTCCATCAACATATTAGTCGTAACAAAGGTCAGCCCATACAATTAGTAAACTCTAATGTTGGTATTAGCCTCCATTCGGTTCCAAGATAATTCGACCTTTAAAAAAAGTCTTGGCATGAGAATTAAATTCATGTGAAACTTCAAACTTTGAAAACCAAAAACTAAACATAAAGATAATTTGCCTGAATGGTGGTAGATTATGTAAATCTAAGGCCCATGTCAACATATTATCTTAATCTAAATTGGAAGATTTAACTTGAAACAAATCTGTTTTTCTTCAGACGTATAATTAAGATTTAAGCGAGTCCCTGTCATTATAGATAATACAGGTGATGAAATATTCATGTGCATCACTTCACCCAAAAGTTCAACACGTGTTGCTTCAGAGTACATTTTTATTACTTCACTTCAGTTTTTGACACTTTAAGAAGTTATGGTTGTGCTAAGAGTAACATTCTCGTCACTTATAGTACAACGAGGTGTTATTTTTGCAGATGGTGATGTGGAAGGTGCTGCGATTGTCTGAAGGGCGTGTTTATTTCGATAATGCCGTCGTATCCGCGGGTCCTATGTATTTTGACATCCTCAAAGAAGAAGAATATCGCCATGTATGGATACATTTGAAGTCGTATTAATAATTTGCTGGTTCTAAGAGTGCTTGCATAATATCTAAGTTATGTGATAAATAAAATTTTAATGAGCTTCCATTTCGTATCAGATTCATAAAACCCATAACGAATGGTCATTTTACTTTTCCAATATATCATACGAGCAGTGGTTGCAAGTGTCAGGAGATGTATCTATTCTGTATGTAAAATTCTTTACTCTCTCCGGCGATACAGCCTATATAAGTTTAGACGGTATAGCTTACAAGTATAGATGTTCTCTTGTTGTGTTCCTGTCTGGCTGTACCATTTACACATTCCTGGTTTACCTGAATTCCGTGTACAGGTATTAAAATAGACTCTTGTTTTATAAACAAACAGCATGTCATTAAGACAAAATCACTCGCTACGTTCTGTGGTAATCTCACTAACCAGTCTCGTTACGTTCTGTGGTAATCTCACTCACAAGTCACGCTACGTTCTGTGGTCATCTCACTCACCAGTCTTGCTACGTTATGTGGTAATCTCACTAACCAGTCACGCTACGTTCTGTGGTAATATCACTTACCAGTCACGCTACGTTCTGTGGTAATATCACTTACCAGTCATGCCACGTTCTGTGGTAATCTCACTCACCAGTCACGCTACGTTCTGTGGTAATATCACTTACCAGTCTCGTTACGTTCTGTGGTCATCTCACTCACCAGTCTCGTTACGTTCTGTGGTAATATCACTTACCAGTCACGCTACGTTCTGTGGTAATATCACTTACCAGTCACGCTACATTCTGTGGTAATCTCACTTACCAGTCTAGTTACGTTCTGTGGTCATCTCACTAACCAGTCACACTACGTTCTGTGGTCATCTCACTTACCAGTCTAGTTACGTTCTGTGGTCATCTCACTAACCAGTCACACTACGTTCTGTGGTCATCTCACTTACCAGTCTAGTTACGTTCTGTGGTCATCTTACTCACCAGTCTCGTTACGTTCTGTGGTCATCTCACTAACAAGATTCGCTACGTTCTGTGGTCATCTCATTACCAGTCACGCTACATTCTGTGGTAATCTCACTTACCAGTCTAGTTACGTTCTGTGGTCATCTCACAAACCAGTCACGCTACATTCTGTGGTCATCTCACTCACCAGTCACGCTACGTTCTGTGGTCATCTTAATAACCAGTCTTGTTACGTTCTGTGGTCATCTCACTAACAAGATTCGCTACGTTCTGTGGTCATCTCACTAACCAGTCACGCTACATTCTGTGGTAATCTCACTTACCAGTCTAGTTACGTTCTGTGGTCATCTCACTAACAAGATTCGCTACGTTCTGTGGTCATCTCAATAACCAGTCACGCTACATTCTGTGGTAATCTCACTTACCAGTCTAGTTACGTTCTGTGGTAATCTCACTCACCAGTCACGCTACGTTCTGTGGTCATCTCACTTACCAGTCTAGTTACGTTCTGTGGTCATCTCACTCACCAGTCACGCTACGTTCTGTGGTCATCTCACTCACCACTCACCGGTCTTGTTACGTTCTGTGGTCATCTCACTAACCAGTCACGCTACATTCTGTGGTAATCTCACTCACCAGTCACGCTACGTACTGTGGTCATCTCAATAACCAGACTCATGACAATCTGTGGTCATCTCATTCACCAGTCACACTACGTTCTGTGTTCATCTCACTAACCAGTCACGTTTCGTTATGTGTTCATCTCAATAACCAGTCACACTACGTTCTGTGGTCATCTCACTCACCAATCTCGTTACGTTCTGTGGTCATCTCACTAACCAGTCACACTACGTTCTGTTGTAACCTCACTAACCAGTCACACTACGTTCTGTGGTAACCTCACTAACCAGTCACACTACGTTCTGTTGTAACCTCACTAACCAGTCACACTACGTTCTGTGGTCATCTCACTAACCAGTCACACTACGTTCTGTGGTAACCTCACTAACCAGACTCACGACGATCTGTGGTAACCTCACTAACCAGACCCACGTCGATCTGTGGTCCTCTTACTATTCGTAACGTTCTGCGATTACCTGACTGTCGACACTTCCACTGTCTAACCATTGTTCGTGCCATTGACCAACATCAAGACACGTGAATGGGATCATAAAAAATATGGTTAGACACCGGTATTAGGCCACTTCAGCATACGACTGAACAGTGAGGTCTGTAATGTCGTAAGTAAGAGGTTCTGTCAGTGGCGTATCGCCCTCCTTCAGACATTACGGGCAGCCAAACATTAAAGTACACGAATGGTCATTAAACTGACATCCGAGTAGAAACCTACTCTAATGTTGGGGAGCAACAACAGACGTCTGACAGCGGGCATTATGGTTTATTATTGCACGGTAACAACACTGCAGCCTTTCTCAGACGGCCAATCAAAAACAACAACTTGGAAGCCATTTACAAATCAACAAATAGCAAACGATGTTTTATACACATTTCGGCTACAAATACATCATTACATCTAACATAAAAACACTAAATTAAAATCACATTTCCATAACAACTTTTTTTCTGTGACGTCGTTTGCAATCAACATCGAGTTATTTTTTTCAGTATCCATTTCTACTTTGAAGAGAGACTTGAACAAGTCCAGGAGTTGCCCTTTACCTTCCTATCAGGCGTTTGTAATGAATACTGGCTGTTTTACACGATCCTTAGGAAAAAAAACCCACTTTAATCACTACGAACGAGGCTATGAAACTTTTGAAGAAAAAAAAGAGAGAAAAAAGTATATTAGATATGATACAAGTAGAGATTTTTTCACGATGCTATTATGAACATCCATTATATGTCAATTATATAACACCGACTTCCTGTGTCTGAAGATATATATACTTATTACCGCATGCACACCTTCCCGAGCTATAATATACTGACAACAATCAACATGGACCGTAGTTCATATATTAACTTATAATTAGAAACGGATTTATCAGAACTAAGCAGGACGGGGACATGAGAATAGTTGTAATATTAGACACTTAAACAAAGCTAATTATTTAAATTCCAATTTCATTAACGGATCTTAATTATCTGACCACCAGATGCCTATCATGTCCATTCACTGTCCTGAATTATCTGACCACCAGTGTAAACCTTTCTGTCCACCAGCGTAACCCTATCTGACCACCAGCGTAACCCTATCTGACCACCAGTGTAAACCTTTCTGTCCACCAGTGTAACCCTATCTGACCACCAGTGTAACCCTATCTGACCACCAGTTTAACCCTATCTGACCACCAGCGTAACCCTTTCTGACCACCAGCGTAACCCTTTCTGACCACCAGTGTAACCCTATCTGACCACCAGTTTAACCCTATCTGACCACCAGCGTAACCCTATCTGACCACCAGTTTAACCCTATCTGACCACCAGCGTAACCCTTTCTGACCACCAGTTTAAACCTTTCTGACCACCAGTGTAACCCTATCTGACCACCAGTTTAACCCTATCTGACCACCAGTTTAACCCTATCTGACCACCAGCGTAACCCTATCTGACCACCAGTTTAACCCTATCTGACCACCAGTGTAACCCTATCTGACCACCAGTTTAACCCTATCTGACCACCAGTTTAACCCTATCTGACCACCAGCGTAACCCTTTCTGACCACCAGTTTAACCCTTTCTGACCACCAGCGTAACCCTATCTGACCACCAGCGTAACCCTATCTGACCACCAGCGTAACCCTATCTGACCACCAGCGTAACCCTATCTGACCACCTATCTGACCACCAGCGTAACCCTATCTGACCACCAGAGTAACCCTATCTGACCACCAGTTTAACCCTTTCTGACCACCAGCGTAACCCTTTCTGACCACCAGTTTAACCCTTTCTGACCACCAGTTTAACCCTATCTGACCACCAGTTTAACCCTTTCTGACCACCAGCGTAACCCTTTCTGACCACCAGTTTAACCCTATCTGACCACCAGTGTAACCCTATCTGACCACCAGTGTAACCCTATCTGACAACCAGTGTAACCCTTTCTGACCACCAGCGTAACCCTTTCTGACCACCAGTGTAACCCTATCTGACCACCAGTTTAACCCTATCTGACCACCAGTTTAACCCTATCTGACCACCAGTTTAACCCTATCTGACCACCAGTGTAACCCTATCTGACAACCAGCGTAACCCTATCTGACCACCAGCGTAACCCTATCTGACCACCAGTTTAACCCTTTCTGTCCACCAGCGTAACCCTATCTGACCACCAGCGTAACCCTTTCTGACCACCAGCGTAACCCTATCTGACCACCAGTTTAACCCTTTCTGACCACCAGCGTAACCCTTTCTGACCACCAGTTTAACCCTTTCTGACCACCAGTTTAACCCTATCTGACCACCAGTGTAACCCTATCTGTCCACCAGCGTAACCCTATCTGACCACCAGTTTAACCCTTTCTGACCACCAGCGTAACCCTTTCTGACCACCAGTTTAACCCTTTCTGACCACCAGCGTAACCCTTTCTGACCACCAGTTTAACCCTTTCTGACCACCAGTTTAACCCTATCTGACCACCAGTGTAACCCTATCTGACCACCAGTGTAACCCTATCTGACAACCAGTGTAACCCTTTCTGACCACCAGTGTAACCCTATCTGACCACCAGTTTAACCCTATCTGACCACCAGTTTAACCCTATCTGACCACCAGTGTAACCCTATCTGACCACCAGTGTAACCCTATCTGACCACCAGTGTAACCCTATCTGACCACCAGTTTAACCCTTTCTGACCACCAGCGTAACCCTATCTGACCACCAGTTTAACCCTTTCTGACCACCAGCGTAACCCTATCTGACCACCAGTTTAACCCTTTCTGACCACCAGCGTAACCCTATCTGACCACCAGCGTAACCCTATCTGACCACCAGTGTAACCCTATCTGACCACCAGCGTAACCCTATCTGACCACCAGCGTAACCCTATCTGACCACCAGTTTAACCCTTTCTGACCACCAGTGTAACCCTATCTGACCACCAGCGTAACCCTATCTGACCACCAGTTTAACCCTATCTGACCACCAGTGTAACCCTATCTGACCACCAGTTTAAACATTTCTGACCACCAGTTAAACCCTATCTGACCACCAGTGTAACCCTATCTGACCACCACTTTATGCCTATCATGTCCTTCCACTGTGACCTATGCTGGCAATAAAACCTCTTTCTTGTGACGTAACTCCAATGAGAATTGTCTCTGCTCAATTTCCATTCATTTACATTTCCTTACTGGTAAAGTTGTAAGGAAAATCCAATTACCTTCTACAGTATGTTCTTCATTATCAATTTTCTTTGCAGAATGAGAATATATGGAAATAAAAGTACACAATATGATTACTAAGATGGTAGGGCCCAATCAGCCACAGTTTAAGGAGAGTGGCTGTTTCTATATTTACTTTCAGTTACTTCATTTTAGAATGAAAGGTGTCTCACTAATTATCAATCAATTAAGAAATAATCAACATTAAGCCCATATTGAGAAAACAAATGTTGTTGACAATTTAAGGTTAACTGATCACATGAAATCATTTCATTTCTTTTATTTGGAATTTTGGGTTAGGTCACTCACCATGTAATATTACATTCACTGATAACTCTATTTTGGTTGGTATACTGAAGGTTCTGGGGACTTTTCCTGAAAGGTCAAAACAGATTTCCAGATAAAATACTGACATCTCAAAACTAAAATATTTCTGCCAGGCGTACAAAGCTTAAGTCACTCCTTCAACATGGATCAGTCCCTAGGGCTAGTCTCTGGACAAGTGCTGAGCATACATAGATTATTTGGGCCTGCGAACACACCACAATTGTTGACCAGTTTTATTAAATTTACTTCGAATATTTTAGACTGAATTATAATTAACAAAAATCAATAATCAATCATTCCTACCCAATCAATAAAACCTTTCTTTACCTGTTGTATACACATTTCAAACACCCAGCCATATTGTCTAATGGGATATTATCTGAACATGCAGTACAATGTCTATAAACAAGAGGCCCATAGGGCCTTAACAAACACTTATGTGTTTGTTTTTGTAACAAAAGTTGGAATAATTTCAAACAGATATTAAAAATTATGCCCAAAAATATAATTTTCCTACATAAACTATAGTAAACTTCACTCCCTTTCAAGGAGGGTCAAGAAATCACCATTTTGGTAAAGCATCTTACCTTTCACCCTTCATTCATAAAGATTTAATTCTGTCATATCTGGAACTGTAGAAGGAGAGTTTTAAAAACTTGAGTCAGTTTGACCCCTTTTGGCCACACCTTTCAGGCCCCTTGGAAGTGGGGATGGTATGATTTACAATCCTAGTTTACCTTTGGCTATGAAAGGTTTCCGCAAAGTTCTACTCTAATTGTTAGAAGTAATTTGAAGTTGACAATAAACACACTACAGACTGCATGATATAAAAAGTACAACTTGTCCTAATACAGTGTAAATACAAAGGAAAACAATTCAAATACTTAAATGCTAATAGAAGTGGCATGTAATGTAAGGAATGCAATCCTTGTAAATCCCAATAATCGTAGAAAGGGCAATGCAACAGCTGTGTTTCTGTCTACAAATTTTTAATCATTATTATCCATTTATTTATTATACCAATTAAATACCATCAGCAGATGATTATCACCAAATGAATACAAAAAGTGACTGGAAATAAAAATACTTTTTGGGTTTTTTTTCTCACCAATAAATGACAGAACATGATAATCTGTACCAAAAAGATAGACAATCGACAGGATCCCTTCAGAATTCACAAGGTTTTTGATTACATCAGAATTTTTTTTGCAGGTTTGCATCAAATCCTGTTGTTTTCATTTCCTTTGTTCCTCCAATGCTTGAAAGGATACCAACATAAGGAAGACAACAAGAGTTATGTCCCTTATAACTTCTCCTTTTCATTGAATCAATATTATGAAATACTAATTATCATTATGACCTGGCCCAGATGAGTTTTACTTATCACATCGAAACCTTATAGTGAGTCTAAGATAACATATACAGACCTGCTTACTGATACATGTAGGTAGGACATAAAAGTCAGACTTCAAGACTGGGATTTGTACTCTTCTGGATCATTCTGAATGTAGGCCTACTTCTTGTGAGCATAACACTGGTGTAATAACATCTTTTCAAAAACTTCTTGGTTTAAATTTAATGAATTGGAAATATCTGAGGCACAATGGATCAGTAGACGGTAGTGGTAATCAGGCATATATCACACCAAAGAGTAATCAAACGTATTTGTTACCATCAAGTTGTCTCTACAGTATTCTCTGGGAACTTTAAAAGGCAGTTTGGCTAAATGTAAGTGAACAAGATGAAAGGACTGGTAATCTTGGACTTCATAATTTAAAATAAAAAAACATTCAGTAAATCTGACAGTTATCTGACAATGTTATTAACTAGAAGTAGGATGAGGAAAGCCTATAAAGTACTTTTATGACACGGGGGTGTTCAGAACTATAATTTAGTGTGTCCCTGTTCAATAGGTATGTGGAACAATGATTCTTTTTTCTCACCAGAATACACAACAAAATCAGCCATAAATCTTAGGATGCAATTAGGATTTTTTTTCCAAATCTTATCTGCAATTATCAAAGATTCAGCTGAAGCTTGAACATTGTGAAGCACATCCATATCATACTACAGCAGCGTATGTATAATCTCATATACAATGTTATATGTGTACGATGGTGAAATACTTCTATATAAATATAACATGCCTTTTATATTTGTGGAAATACATTGTATACATACAGCTACATTTTTTATCAAATAACTCACACTTCTCACATTCTTGTCATCTTATGAAACATACCATAGGTGTAGTTTTTTCTTTTGAAAACAATATTAGATAAATATATAAATAATCCTGATATTGGAAGTAATTTTAATTTGTAATACAAGTTTAATCGGGGAAGTGGTAAATCTATAATGACTAGTACGAATAAACGAATCAAGAAGTGTTCATTTATATTCAGTTATAATCACATTAACCTTCATACCATAATTTGAAGCACTGAATGTTTTTAAGTTAACATCTATATCAATATTTAAAAACAGACTTATATAAGGAGAAAGATATCTACTTGTAGACTACCTCACAGTTGCACTTACCCAGTTAATAACTTATACAACACAAAAAAACTCCTGCTCTGATGTAATTCACTGGGTGTTACTGTACCAATGATTAAAACATCTACAGTACAATACTGTAAACATTACTACCTATCATCACACACACCATTCACACACTCCCACACCGTACAACAGATCATAAATCTTCCTCATAGCTGTACTGTTTCTTAGGAAATAGTCTGATGAACATGATCATGAAGAGAAACAGCATGATGACGACGGCTAACATGATCCACATACACCAGTCACAGCCCTTAGTGTGTTTCTCCACCTGTTCAGTCACCAATGACAGCTTGTTATAGTTCACATCTGCTAGCTTTGTCGTCTCCACCACTTTCTACAAAATAAAAAAAACAATCATTCAAATTCAATTTTTCAACATCTGTCACCACTTTGAGACTAACTTTAATGAAACATATTGAAGTTAGTTTTTTGCATCAAAGTTCATATAAATGATGTAAAGTCACACCACAACTATCAGGTATACAGACACGTGATCCTCGGTGAATCTGTAAAGTCACACCACAACTATTAAATATACAGACACGTGATCCTCGGTGAATCTGTAAAGTCACACCACAACTATTAAATATACAGACACGTGATCCTCGGTGAATCTGTAAAGTCACACCACAACTATTAAATATACAGACACGTGATCCTCGGTGAATCTGTAAAGTCACACCACAACTATCAGGTATACAGACACGTGATCCTCGGTGAATCTGTAAAGTCACACCACAACTATCAGGTATACAGACACGTGATCCTCGGTGAATCTGTAAAGTCACACCACAACTATTAAATATACAGACACGTGATCCTCGGTGAATCTGTAAAGTCACACCACAACTATTAAATATACAGACACGTGATCCTCGGTGAATCTGTAAAGTCACACCACAACTATTAAATATACAGACACGTGATCCTCGGTGAATCTGTAAAGTCACACCACAACTATCAGGTATACAGACACGTGATCCTCGGTGAATCTGTAAAGTCACACCACAACTATCAGGTATACAGACACGTGATCCTCGGTGAATCTGTAAAGTCACACCACAACTATCAGGTATACAGACACGTGATCCTCGGTGAATCTGTAAAGTCACACCACAACTATCAGGTATACAGACACGTGATCCTCGGTGAATCTGTAAAGTCACACCACAACTATCAGGTATACAGACACGTGATCCTCGGTGAATCTGTAAAGTCACACCACAACTATCAGGTATACAGACACGTGATCCTCGGTGAATCTGTAAAGTCTCACCACAACTATCAGGTATACAGACACGTGATCCTCGGTGAATCTGTAAAGTCACACAACAACTATCAGGTATACAGACACGTGATCCTCGGTGAATCTGTAAAGTCACACCACAACTATCAGGTATACAGACATGGATCCTCGGTGAATCTGTAAAGTCACACCACAACTATCAGGTATACAGACACGTGATCCTCGGTGAATCTGTAAAGTAACACCACAACTATCAGGTATACAGACATGTGATCCTCGGTGAATCTGTAAAGTCACACCACAACTATCAGGTATACAGACACGTGATCCTCGGTGAATCTGTAAAGTCACACCACAACTATCAGGTATACAGACACGTGATCCTCGGTGAATCTGTAAAGTCACACCACAACTATTAAATATACAGACACGTGATCCTCGGTGAATCTGTAAAGTCACACCACAACTATCAGGTATACAGACACGTGATCCTCGGTGAATCTGTAAAGTCACACCACAACTATCAGGTATACAGACACGTGATCCTCGGTGAATCTGTAAAGTCACACCACAACTATCAGGTATACAGACACGTGATCCTCGGTGAATCTGTAAAGTCACACCACAACTATTAAATATACAGACATGTGATCCTCGGTGAATCTGTAAAGTCACACCACAACTATCAGGTATACAGACACGTGATCCTCTGTGAATCTGTAAAGTCACACCACAACTATTAAATATACAGACATGTGATCCTCGGTGAATCTGTAAAGTCACACCACAACTATCAGGTATACAGACACGTGATCCTCGGTGAATCTGTAAAGTCACACCACAACTACCAGGTATACAGACACGTGATTCTCGGTGAATCTGTAAAGTCACACCACAACTATCAGGTATACAGACACATGATCCTCGGTGAATCTGTAAAGTCACACCACAACTATCAGGTATACAGACACGTGATCCTCGGTGAATCTGTAAAGTCACACCACAACTATCAGGTATACAGACACGTGATCCTCGGTGAATCTGTAAAGTCACACCACAACTATCAGGTATACAGACACGTGATCCTCGGTGAATCTTAGACCTTATTATCCTAGGAATTTTAACAGTTTTATATAAGCTTCATGTTTCCTTGTTTCCTTTCACTTGCCCTTGGCTATCTGTTGTGCTGACAGGTAAGGACACAAAGGGTAATAGTATCTAAAAAACTGAGAAAATTCCTGTACTTTCTGTCAAAATCCTCCATCATCAATACAAATGTTAAAATACAAGATGGCTCCCTATTTTCCTCAAATCCATTTCAAAACTACAGAAAAAACAGTAAAAAAATATCCAGCTAGTGCACAATGAGAAATATTCATAATAAGCTGAAGTGATGCATGTCTCCTACTAGTTTCCAGAAGCTCTCATACTGTGTTACAAACAAAATTTCAGATCAATATCTCTTAAGTATTGTAGGAAAAAAACAGCAAAACATGACATTTCCTGAATCTTTAAAGCTCAAGGCAAGGGCCATAACTCTTACATGTTTTAGAATTAAACTGCTAACAAAGAAGTGATTTTATGGTTATTTCAGACAAATTATACCTTAGTATCCTCCCTCACTATCCTGCCAGAATCTTTCACACTTTCTTTGAGATTTCTTGTCAACATCAACATTTCGTCGGCAAGTCTTTCCTGCATCTGATGGTGGTGCTGTATAAGAGAATCTATGTCTTCCTCATCCTGGGGGTTACGTTGTCCGAGTCCTGTACCATCTTTGTAAATAAGACATTATTTCTATAAATAGTCAACATGTTTGTTATCTTTTGCCTATATACAGCTTACATTAATCAGGGTATAAAGAGACATCCTTAGACTGAGGGACCCATACAACGATAATACAGCAAATATAATACAATGCATGCACATCTCTACCTACAGTATGTAATAAATCATAACTTATAAATTGCAAAATTGTAAATTACAAAAGGAACAACCAGACCTAAGGGTACTGAAATAGAGGTATTTCGTTTAAATATTTAATCCATGGAGTTGAGCTTGGAAGAAGATACCTTAATTAAACTAGAACTGTTATCCTGATGATAACTAATACCCTGCAGATACAAATACCTCTATAAATCTAATTCCATCAAAACTCTAACAAAAAAAGTAAAAAACAGTTGAAAATTCATTTTTGGCATTCCCTAATACTTTTTTATACTAGGTAAACATCAGACAATAACTAAATTACAATCAAAAAGAAGATGTAATTTGCATCAGTATAGTTGTCATAGCAATAAAGCATATACAATGATGTTTGATATCCCCTGAGGCCCCCTATAATCAAATTAAGTAACAAAAAGACAATATCTGAATTTCAATCAATCAAAGGCTGCCATTTTTCATAGCAAGGTTGCTGTGGCATTAAACACATACAGTGATATTTGGCCTCACCTTCATACCAATTCAGGTAAAATTGGATAATATCTAAATATCTGAGGCAAGGACTGTGTTGCCATAGTAACAACTATTGGTTTAACTAGTTATACCATTGACCAAATTCAAATGATAAAATGAATGCAAGTCACTTCAGGGGGCACAACCCCATATTGTACTGGGAATTCCTACAAAAAAAAATTTTGGGGGTGGTGGGGGGTTTCATAAAAAAGGAAGATTATTCTCTGAAGAGGGGGAACATCTCCTCATTGTACTGGTAATTCCAACTAAATTTAAACTTAGCTAATGCATAGCTAGACAAAATGATGTTCATGTTCTATATAAAAGGCGATTATTCTCTTAAGTTGGTTTAAAACACAAAGTCACTTCATGGAACACATCTCCATAATGTACTGGCAATTCCCACAAAGTTTAGAAAGATCTGCAGTTAAATGAATGAATGCATAGTCTGACAAAATTTTGTTCATTTCTTTTTATATAAAAGGGAAATAACTCCCAGAAAAGTGATATAACAATCTTACCTTGTGTAGCAGTTTTGTAAGTTAACAATTACGTGATATAACAACTTCAGTTTTGTAAGTCTGTGATATAACAATCTTACTGTGTAGCAGTTTTGTGTGATATAACAATCTTACTTACTTGTGTAGCAGTTTTGTAAGTCTGTGATATAACAATCTTACTTACTTGTGTAGCAGTTTAAGTCTGTGATATAACAATCTTTTACTTGTGTAGCAGTTTTGTAAGATATAATAATCTTCTGTGATATAATAATCTTACTTACTTGTGTAGCAGTTTTGTAAGTCTGTGATATAACAATCTTACTTACTTGTGTAGCAGTTTTGTAAGTCTGTGATATAACAATCTTACTTACTTGTGTAGCAGTTTTGTAAGTCTGTGATATAACAATCTTACTTACTTGTGTAGCAGTTTTGTAAGTCTGTGATATAACAATCTTACTTACTTGTGTAGCAGTTTTGTAAGTCTGTGATATAACAATCTTACTTGTGTAGCAGTTTTGTAAGTCTGTGATATAACAATCTTACTTACTTGTGTAGCAGTTTTGTAAGTCTGTGATATAACAATCTTACTTACTTGTGTAGCAGTTTTGTAAGTCTGTGATATAACAATCTTACTTGTGTAGCAGTTTTGTAAGTCTGTGATATAACAATCTTACTTACTTGTGTAGCAGTTTTGTAAGTCTGTGATATAACAATCTTACTTACTTGTGTAGCAGTTTTGTAAGTCTGTGATATAACAATCTTACTTACTTGTGTAGCAGTTTTGTAAGTCTGTGATATAACAATCTTACTTACTTGTGTAGCAGTTTTGTAAGTCTGTGATATAACAATCTTACTTACTTGTGTAGCAGTTTTGTAAGTCTGTGATATAACAATCTTACTTACTTGTGTAGCAGTTTTGTAAGTCTGTGATATAACAATCTTACTTGTGTAGCAGTTTTGTAAGTCTGTGATATAACAATCTTACTTACTTGTGTAGCAGTTTTGTAAGTCTGTGATATAACAATCTTACTTACTTGTGTAGCAGTTTTGTAAGTCTGTGATATAACAATCTTACTTACTTGTGTAGCAGTTTTGTAAGTCTGTGATATAACAATCTTACTTTCTTGTGTAGCAGTTTTGTAAGTCTGTGATATAACAATCTTCTTACTTGTGTAGCAGTTTTGTAAGTCTGTGATATAACAATCTTACTTGTGTAGCAGTTTTGTAAGTCTGTGATATAACAATCTTACTTACTTGTGTAGCAGTTTTGTAAGTCTGTGATATAACAATCTTACTTACTTGTGTAGCAGTTTTGTAAGTCTGTGATATAACAATCTTACTTACTTGTGTAGCAGTTTTGTAAGTCTGTGATATAACAATCTTACTTACTTGTGTAGCAGTTTTGTAAGTCTGTGATATAACAATCTTACTTACTTGTGTAGCAGTTTTGTAGTCAATCTTACTTACTTGTGTAGCAGTTTTGTAAGTCTGTGATATAACAATCTTACTTACTTGTGTAGCAGTTTTGTAAGTCTGTGATATAACAATCTTACTTACTTGTGTAGCAGTTTTGTAAGTCTGTGATATAACAATCTTACTTACTTGTGTAGCAGTTTTGTAAGTCTGTGATATAACAATCTGTGATATTACTTACTTGTGTAGCAGTTTTGTAAGTCTGTGATATAACAATCTTACTTACTTGTGTAGCAGTTTTGTAAGTCTGTGATATAACAATCTTACTTACTTGTGTAGCAGTTTTGTAAGTCTGTGATATAACAATCTTACTTACTTGTGTAGCAGTTTTGTAAGTCTGTGATATAACAATCTTACTTGTGTAGCAGTTTTGTAAGTCTGTGATATAACAATCTTACTTGTGTAGCAGTTTTGTAAGTCTGTGATATAACAATCTTACTTACTTGTGTAGCAGTTTTGTAAGTCTGTGATATAACAAACTTACTTACTTGTGTAGCAGTTTTGTAAGTCTGTGATATAACAATCTTACTTGTGTAGCAGTTTTGTAAGTCTGTGATATAACAATCTTACTTACTTGTGTAGCAGTTTTGTAAGTCTGTGATATAATAATCTTACTTGTGTAGCAGTTTTTGTAAGTCTGTGATATAACAATCTTACTTGTGTAGCAGTTTTGTAAGTCTGTGATATAACAATCTTACTTACTTGTGTAGCAGTTTTGTAAGTCTGTGATATAACAATCTTACTTACTTGTGTAGCAGTTTTGTAAGTCTGTGATATAACAATCTTACTTACTTGTGTAGCAGTTTTGTAAGTCTGTGATATAACAATCTTACTTACTTGTGTAGCAGTTTTGTAAGTCTGTGATATAACAATCTTACTTACTTGTGTAGCAGTTTTGTAAGTCTGTGATATAACAATCTTACTTACTTGTGTAGCAGTTTTGTAAGTCTGTGATATAACAATCTTACTTACTTGTGTAGCAGTTTTGTAAGTCAGTGATATAACAATCTTACTTACTTGTGTAGCAGTTTTGTAAGTCTGTGATATAACAATCTTACTTACTTGTGTAGCAGTTTTGTAAGTCTGTGATATAACAATCTTACTTACTTGTGTAGCAGTTTTGTAAGTCTGTGATATAACAATCTTACTTACTTGTGTAGCAGTTTTGTAAGTCTGTGATATAACAATCTTACTTACTTGTGTAGCAGTTTTGTAAGTCTGTGATATAACAATCTTACTTACTTGTGTAGCAGTTTTGTAAGTCTGTGATATAACAATCTTTCTTACTTGTGTAGCAGTTTTGTAAGTCTGTGATATAACAATCTTACTTGTGTAGCAGTTTTGTAAGTCTGTGATATAACAATCTTACTTACTTGTGTAGCAGTTTTGTAAGTCTGTGATATAACAATCTTACTTACTTGTGTAGCAGTTTTGTAAGTCTGTGATATAACAATCTTACTTACTTGTGTAGCAGTTTTGTAAGTCTGTGATATAACAATATTACTTACTTGTGTAGCAGTTTTGTAAGTCTGTGATATAACAATCTTACTGTGATATAACAATCTTACTTGTGTAGCAGTTTTGTAAGTCTGTGATATAACAATCTTACTTACTTGTGTAGCAGTTTTGTAAGTCTGTGATATAACAATCTTACTTACTTGTGTAGCAGTTTTGTAAGTCTGTGATATAACAATCTTACTTACTTGTGTAGCAGTTTTGTAAGTCTGTGATATAACAATCTTACTTACTTGTGTAGCAGTTTTGTAAGTCTGTGATATAACAATCTTACTTACTTGTGTAGCAGTTTTGTAAGTCTGTGATATAACAATCTTACTTACTTGTGTAGCAGTTTTGTAAGTCTGTGATATAACAATCTTACTTACTTGTGTAGCAGTTTTGTAAGTCTGTGATATAACAATCTTACTTACTTAAGTCTGTGATATAACAATCTTACTTACTTGTGTAGCAGTTTTGTAAGTCTGTGATATAACAATCTTACTTACTTGTGTAGCAGTTTTGTAAGTCTGTGATATAACAATCTTACTTACTTGTGTAGCAGTTTTGTAAGTCTGTGATATAACAATCTTACTTACTTGTGTAGCAGTTTTGTAAGTCTGTGATATAACAATCTTACTTACTTGTGTAGCAGTTTTGTAAGTCTGTGATATAACAATCTTACTTACTTGTGTAGCAGTTTTGTAAGTCTGTGATATAACAATCTTACTTACTTGTGTAGCAGTTTTGTAAGTCTGTGATATAACAATCTTACTTACTTGTGTAGCAGTTTTGTAAGTCTGTGATATAACAATCTTACTTACTTGTGTAGCAGTTTTGTAAGTCTGTGATATAACAATCTTACTTACTTGTGTAGCAGTTTTGTAAGTTTGATATAAGTCTGTGATATAACAATCTTACTTGTGTAGCAGTTTTGTAAGTCTGTGATATAACAATCTTACTTACTTGTGTAGCAGTTTTGTAAGTCTGTGATATAACAATCTTACTTGTGTAGCAGTTTTGTAAGTCTGTGATATAACAATCTTACTTACTTGTGTAGCAGTTTTGTAAGTCTGTGATATAACAATCTTACTTACTTGTGTAGCAGTTTTGTAAGTCTGTGATATAACAATCTTACTTACTTGTGTAGCAGTTTTGTAAGTCTGTGATATAACAATCTTACTTGTGTAGCAGTTTTGTAACAAGTACTTGTGTGATATAACAATCTTACTTACTTGTGTAGCAGTTTTGTAAGTCTGTGATATAACAATCTTACTTACTTGTGTAGCAGTTTTGTAAGTCTGTGATATAACAATCTTACTTACTTGTGTAGCAGTTTTGTAAGTCTGTGATATAACAATCTTACTTGTGTAGCAGTTTTGTAAGTCTGTGATATAACAATCTTACTTACTTGTGTAGCAGTTTTGTAAGTCTGTGATATAACAATCTTACTTACTTGTGTAGCAGTTTTGTAAGTCTGTGATATAACAATCTTACTTACTTGTGTAGCAGTTTTGTAAGTCTGTGATATAACAATCTTACTTACTTGTGTAGCAGTTTTGTAAGTCTGTGATATAACAACTTGTGTAGCAGTTTTGTAACTTACTTGTGTAGCAGTTTTGTAAGTCTGTGATATAACAATCTTACTTACTTGTGTAGCAGTTTTGTAAGTCTGTGATATAACAATCTTACTTACTTGTGTAGCAGTTTTGTAAGTCTGTGATATAACAATCTTACTTACTTGTGTAGCAGTTTTGTAAGTCTGTGATATAACAATCTTACTTACTTGTGTAGCAGTTTTGTAAGTCTGTGATATAACAATCTTACTTACTTGTGTAGCTGTTTTGTTAGTCTGTGATATAACAATCTTACTTACTTGTGTAGCAGTTTTGTAAGTCTGTGATATAACAATCTTACTTACTTGTGTAGCAGTTTTGTAAGTCTGTGATATAACAATCTTACTTGTGTAGCAGTTTTGTAAGTCTGTGATATAACAATCTTACTTACTTGTGTAGCAGTTTTGTAAGTCTGTGATATAACAATCTTACTTACTTGTGTAGCAGTTTTGTAAGTCTGTGATATAACAATCTTACTTACTTGTGTAGCAGTTTTGTAAGTCTGTGATATAACAATCTTACTTACTTGTGTAGCAGTTTTGTAAGTCTGTGATATAACAATCTTACTTACTTGTGTAGCAGTTTTGTAAGTCTGTGATATAACAATAACAATCTTCTTACTTGTGTAGCAGTTTTGTAAGTCTGTGATATAACAATCTTACTTACTTGTGTAGCAGTTTTGTAAGTCTGTGATATAACAATCTTACTTACTTGTGTAGCAGTTTTGTAAGTCTGTGATATAACAATCTTACTTACTTGTGTAGCAGTTTTGTAAGTCTGTGATATAACAATCTTACTTACTTGTGTAGCAGTTTTGTAAGTCTGTGATATAACAATCTTACTTGTGTAGCAGTTTTTGTAAGTCTGTGATATAACAATCTTACTTACTTGTGTAGCAGTTTTGTAAGTCTGTGATATAACAATCTTACTTACTTGTGTAGCAGTTTTGTAAGTCTGTGATATAACAATCTTACTTACTTGTGTAGCAGTTTTGTAAGTCTGTGATATAACAATCTTACTTACTTGTGTAGCAGTTTTGTAAGTCTGTGATATAACAATCTTACTTGTGTAGCAGTTTTGTAAGTCTGTGATATAACAATCTTACTTACTTGTGTAGCAGTTTTGTAAGTCTGTGATATAACAATCTTACTTACATGTGTCGCAGTTTTGTAATTCTGTGATATAACAATCTTACTGATTTGTTTAAGAGTTTTGTAAGTCTGTGATTTAAAAATCTTACTTCCTTGTGTAGCAGTTTTGTAAGTCTGTGATATAACAATCTTACTTACTTGTGTAGCAGTTTTGTAAGTCTGTGATATAACAATCTTACTTACTTGTGTAGCAGTTTTGTAAGTCTGTGATATAACAATCTTACTTACTTGTGTAGCAGTTTTGTAAGTCTGTGATATAACAATCTTACTTACTTGTGTAGCAGTTTTGTAATTCTGTGATATAACAATCTTACTTATTTGTTTAAGAGTTTTGTAAGTCTGTGATATAACAATCTTACTTACTTGTGTAGCAGTTTTGTAAGTCTATGATATAACAATCTGACTTGTGTAGCAGTTTTACTAACATGTCTAGGCCTATTTAAATCATGAATATTAAGAAACAACAGGAAGTAAAATATAACTAATAGAAAAATATACCAATTTTTCTGCTTCCATTATTCCCTTCAAGAAGTCCACTTTTTTGTTGTAGTCATTCAAAGTTTCCTGACTTGGACGACTGAAAAAATAATAACAATTTGTTTACAGTCAATCATTTATTCACTTTAAAGAAAATCTCAAATAAATTGCTTTGGGATACAAACCAGATAATACTCGACCATGTACATGAATGTTTAACTGCAAGACTTTTGTTCTCAAATATTTAATTTATCTAAAAATTCTGATGATTGAACTATTGAAACATACCATGGCGACTTCTTTAATTCACTCAGCTGATCTTGTAATGCAGTAACAAACTGAAATAAAATTATAAACCACAATGGATAGAAGTCAATGATTTTATCATAATTCATTTCTGGTGAAACAGTAATTGATCTAATGAGGATAGGAAAATGTAGACTCCAGAAATAAGCATGAATCATTAAGTATCATGTTATTTCATCAGAGGTAACTTTCCTGAATACATTCACCATGACTGAGATAAATAATCACAGTAATGAGTCATGTTGATTTGTGTATTGATCTCCTTATTTCTTGTTTTATTATAAACAACTGACTCAAATGAAGACACTTTTAATCAAGCAATACAAAGTTCTCCCCCAGTGATAAATTAAGTTGGAAACTGATATCTCATGAACAATCTATGCTGATAAAAAACATTGATCAAACCTAATTTTTTTGGCATTTAAGTCTGCTCAATAACCCTGTAAATACACCCCTGAAACTTTGGTTAGCACTCTAGTGCAATTGTCTAGCAAACAATTGTTTAAAAACCAATGCCCACTTAAGCTTAAGCATCCTTGAATCAACCTCTTGATCTGAAATATTTTTGGTAATATGTGTCTGATTTCCGATTACATTTACTTGAAATGCATAAAGAGTTACTTCTCTTTGATTATCATTCTGTATACTTATTATTTGTGTTTGTTTGATTGATCAAAAGCTATGGTCATTTTAGGATAAGGTCTTCTTACAGTATCTTGATGTCTTTATGAGCATAGGAGTCTGATTTCTAAGCCATCTGAGTAACATAAACTGGGTACATGTTTTACACTTATACGTAAATTTATCTGTTTTCTTCTCTGGTTTTACTGATTTCATTGTTATTTCACTGCTTCATTGATCCAGGTTGTATCATTTCTGTTTCATTAACAAATGTATCAGTTACAAATTACAAACACTGTATTCTGTTTTAAAGATACAATAACTCTACTAAGACTGTGAAAAACCTGTGATTTTCTTTGGTAAGAGTATTCATCAAAGAAGGTAAAGTAAACATGGGTGACAGGTATGGTAAGTGTTTGGAAACTTGTTGAATATTATTTGCTGGTAGTTTAAGGTGTTCTAAAATGAGTTACCTCCCTTGATTCAGAGCACAGAAATTTGAGTCATTTACTGCTCCAGTTCCTGATTTTTAAGGTGAAAATTGATATCAAAGTGAATTAATTACAGGTAACAGCTTATTTCTTTTAATGCTGTTGCAGACAATTTATTATAGTGTTACTTTTATCATAAAGCAATAAGATATGTTTGCTGTTTTCCAATTGTTTATTACAATTATCACCAAAGCCCAAACAATGTAGAAAAAATACTATTCCTGTCTGTTTACTTTCTCGTCACTTCCATAATCAATGGCATTACTGTTATCTGAGTGCTTTTCACTGTTTACTCAATAATAGTCGCTATGTCATAATAGCAAGTTTCCTCTGGCTCCATCACTGGACTTAGAATGCCTAACATCTGGTGTTTGACACTCTCCTTCCACATTATATGTAAAGTAAATAGAAACAGATGAGCCATTCCTGATCAGGATATATGTAATGGTTTGCATATTAAAAAAATTACCACAAATCTACTGAGTTGATGAAACAAAAGATTGTTTTCAAAGGAAAGAAATTTTGCTGAGTTTGTTGATTTTTTTGTTGCAGTATTTTGCACTTAGATCTCTTTTCCCCTATGTTTTGATGATGAGACAGGACAGAAGTATAAGTGTTATATTATTATATTGTGCTCCGGAGCATGGGGGGATAAAAGAAATTCTCAATATTAGGTTTGTGCTGCATTTTTAAACTCACAAATAGACCTAAAAATGCAACAATAAATGCAGTTATATTGATATAGCAAAATTAACTTGTCTGAAAAATAAAAAGATATTATGCATTGGTATTCATATCTAAAGCTGTTTATATTTACTTCTTGTAAACATGCCTATAATCTTTGCCAAACAGAAGTCAGTATTTTTTTAACTTATCCATGAGAGGTAAGTATTTAATATAACATGCATATGCCTTATAATGAATAAATAACAAGCCCTTGAATGAATAAATGTGCTACATCACACTTTACCTGTACATTTTAATCTGCAGATTGTAACATGGCTTTTTCATGATGACCTTCTGAGCTTCATAACAACAGTTTGTTTTTTAAGTGGGATCAACATTTATTCATTTCATTTTGATGATATCCACACAAAGTGTTCCTTAATAAATACTACTCAGCTTAAACATATTATAATCTTATTTTTGTATAAATATCAAGTGGAAGTTTTCTCAGACTTTTTCTGAATCTCATAAATTTGCTAAATGATACCTATTTGGGGGCTTTAATAAGGTATGTTCCCAAGCTCAAAAGTACTGTCGAATACTCTTTGTTCATTTTGGAATTTGGCCAAAACTGGCTCTTGCTGCAAATGCTCCTTTCCGTATTTCCATATAAAAACACAACAGATCTCACTTGCTTCCACCACACAACAAACAGAGTCGCGTAAGAGAAGTTGTGACAGAACTAGGATTCCAATGTGTGGAAAGACAGTGACCTAGATTTTTTTTTATTGATTAGTTGCTTAACATTCAGGTTTTTTGTAGACAGCTATGTGAGGACACCGGTATTGCACCACTTTTGTTTGTTATCAAATAAAAGATGTACGCAGATACTTAAAAATGCAACTTCACCGAGGGAATGGACCGAAATATTGCAAATATACCAAAAATATCAATTCCACCTACTTCCCTGCTTACCCGATTGGCCATCCTTTTTTCTCGACCTGCACGACAGAAATATAACTAGACCATAACTGTTTGTTTGCATTCGAAATATGTATGTTCAGTTATATATGGTTATATTGCCAAATTGGTCTTTATAGCCGGTGTTCCAGTATCTGACGTTTCAATATGAGCCACAAGAAGTACTAGCCTCGTCAGTCAAATTTACGAATTGACAGACGAGGCTAGTACCTGTGGTTACTCCAAAATATCTTTAAATACCTTTTCAAGTCTCCAATCCCATGCTGTTTTGTCTTTCGCCATAGTTTCACATCTGGTTAGAAGGCGATTGAAATTTATTTCCAATCTTGTGGCCATGTTGGCAAATATTCAATGTCAACTTAAGACTTCCAATAGAAACTGAGATTTTCCTTTAATAAAACGTTTCACTGATACAGAGTTTTCATTTTACTGTAAGGTCGAAAATTGTCTTTGGGATTGAAGAGCTATTTCCGGTACGGAAGTGCATGGTGGTATCTATGGTTATTGTATACAAAGGGGGAACAGCCACATGTAAGCAATCATCCGTAATTTTGAATATTTCATTTGTTCCATTATTTAGATAGATGCTGTCAACACTTTCACGCACTATCACTGTCGACTTATGCATATATATTGGTTTCTAAAAAGGCTAACCATGTTAAAGAACTGTTAAAAGACTGAACAAACAACGTGTTGACATTGTGATTCCAAAAGTAAACATTGATCTACTTTATAAAAACACAATTATGTCGTTCAGTAACAGGGATCGCTTGTCACGAACAATTGAATGTGAAGTGGGTTTTTTGAATTCTTTTTTTCCTTGAATGAAGAAAGGGGTTATTGTACCAATATTTGTTTGATTGATATACAACAGTTGAACAGTGTATGCAAAGTAAATTGGCCAGGCCAGTGAATTAGTGAATTAAAACTATGTAAATAACAACACAAAATTAGTTCAGAAAAAAGGGCGATGTTTAGATTTCTAGTCAATTATATTGTAATATACAGCTATGGTTAATCCAAGAGTGAATAATTATGGGAAGTACATCTGCTTAACAAAAAAAAAAAAAAAAAAAATTGCACCTGAAATAATTGTCTTATTGTGAAAGGTCAGTACACATCTCTGAATATGATTGATAGTTCAAGTATGTAAACAGAATGTGTATCCTAATAAAAGACTCCATTCAGAATTGAAACGTACGACAAGCGGTTAATTGGTCATTTTGAAAGATGGCACGTTATCATTTTAGTAATGTGAATTTTTCTTCATTGCAGATAATCATGGCTGACATAACTAATCCCATTTACACCCCCAAAACTGGGACAGATTTCCTGTCATCAACAAATTTCCAAGTAGCACAAGACATGTCCGTTACACCAGGGTCAATGCAAAGTGTGTTCAAGAAGGACTATCCATCTTACAAACACTATGGCCGAGATGCTGAAGCAGATCGCCCTGCCTTAGCTGAGGTCATGCATAGGGATGGAACCTACTTCAGGGAAAAAGCATCCGAGACAACCAAGTCATTTACATACAAATACATGCCGAAAATGGTGGTTCCAGATGTGCACAGAAAACTCCGATCAACTAATTTCAAGATGGATTCAGATTTAAGTAAAGTGAAATCATTTCAGACAATGCACGATTCCTATTTCACACCAAAAATAGATGAGGATTATGAGCGTGTGCAGCCTGTAATGGCTTTATGGGCAGTGAATATTCCTCAAGGGGATCGAGACAAGGCTGATGAACCGTGGTCTGACTACAGGGACAGATACAGGGGCCATGACACCACAGTTCACAAGGTAGAAAAGGTGCCATCCATGCATGAAGGTAAGTCAGAGATATGTATGTATGTAAGATTGCCTGTTATATTCACCTTTATCTATGCACTGGTTTATCCCGGCTCTGTATTTTATCTATTAGTAAGCTATATATCAGTTTTGAGATTTATGAATTTTCACATCTTATCATAATGATTGGTATCAATGCATGCAAATTTCAGCACAACTAATTCAATAAGTTGAATGTTCAGATATTCTAATACATTGATATTATATTCTATATCAGGAGGTCCTCCAACAGTGAAAGGTGATGCCCGCTACACACATTTTGATACAACACACAATTCTACATTTATGGGAGAGTATCAGGATCCAATCAAGTCCCTGTCTGCAGTATGTGCATTTTCTAACAGATTTATCTTATCTTATATGTGGCCATATTGAACAAGTCATTACCTGATTACAAATTTCCTTATTTCATCCTCTGGTATCTACTGGATAACTCTTTGAGTTTGCAGAGGTATATACACAAAGGCTGAAATTTTCAAACAGCAAAATTAATGTTGGAAAAAAATTGTGTGCGATAATTTTCTAATTTTCATGTAAAATGACCTATAACTTTTACCATGACTTCTGTTTCTTTTCAGTTGGGGATGAACAATTCTAGTGATGTATATTGGATGTTATCACTCGAATACCAGTTCATAGTCATTCATGTGTGATATTCATAGTTTGTGATTATTTGATGTTGAGTGTGTGTTGATGTATGATGACACTGTGATATCACATAAAATTGATATGGTACACAAGATTATGTGCTAATTTCAGCCTACAGGTACCAATGTACCCAATGGTGACCCAGACAAGGAGATGGTAAGGGAGACAACCATGCAGTACTCGTTTCCTAGCAAAGTCGAGAACCGTGATTACAAACCCTACCTGAAGGATGAAGTCAGCAGGACATTGGGAAAGACTAACTTCAAACAAGTTGATGGGCACTGCAAATACAATGACTATCAGAGCACCGCTACAGTGTCTTATTTACCTGTTACAACACCATGTAAGTAACATCACCTCACCACACCATGTAAGTAATAGTACCTCACAACACCATGTAAGTAACAGTACCTCACAACACCATGTAAGTAATAGTACCTCACAACACCATGTAAGTAATAGTACCTCACAACACCATGTAAGTATCATCACCTCACAACACCATGTAAGTAATAGTACCTCACAACACCATGTAAGTAATAGTACCTCACAACACCATGTAAGTATCATCACCTCACAACACCATGTAAGTAACATCACCTCACAACACCATGTAAGTAACATCACCTCACAGCACCATGTAAGTAACAGTACCTCACAACACTATGTAAGTAATAACACCTCACAACACCATGTAAGTAACATCACCTCACAACACCATGTAAGTAATAGTACCTCACAACACCATGTAAGTAACACTACTTCACAACACCATGTAAGTAACAGTACCTCACAACAGAATGTAAGTAATAGTACCTCACAACACCATGTAAGTAACAGTACCTCACAACACCATGTAAGTAACAATACCTCACAACACTATGTAAGTAACATCACCTCACACCACCATGTAACACTGCCTCACAAAACCATGTAAGTAACAGTACCTCACAACACCATGTAAGTAACAATACCTCACAACACTATGTAAGTAACATCACCTCACACCACCATGTAACACTGCCTCACAACACCATGTAAGTAACAGTACCTCACAACACCATGTAAGTAACATCACCTCACAACACCATGTAAGTAACATCACCTCACAACACCATGTAAGTAACAGTACAGTACCTCACAACACCATGTAAGTAATAGTACCTCACAACACCATGTAAGTAATAACACCTCACAACACCATGTAAGTAACAGTACCTCACAACACCATGTAAGTAACAACACCTCACAACACCATGTAAGTAACATCACCTCACAACACCATGTAAGTAACATCACCTCACAACACCATGTAAGTAACATCACCTCACAACACCATGTAAGTAACATCACCTCACAACACCATGTAAGTAACAGTACCTCACAACACCATGTAAGTAATAACACCTCACAACACCATGTAAGTAACAGTACCTCACAACACCATGTAAGTAATAACACCTCACAACACCATGTAAGTAACATCACCTCACAACACCATGTAAGTAACACTACCTCAAAGTACCATGTAACACTACCTCAAAGTACCATGTAACACTACCTCACAGTACCATGTAACACTACCTCACAGTACCATATAACACTATCTCACAGTACCATGTAACACTACCTCACAGTACCATGTAACACTGCCTCACCATGTAACACTACCTCACAGTACTATGTAACACTGCCTCACAACACGATGTAACACTTTCTCACAATATGACATAACACTACCTCACAGTACTATGTAACACTGCCTCACAACACGATGTAACACTTTCTCACAATATGACATAACACTACCTCACAACACAATATAACACTACTTCACAACCCATGAAAGCATTACCTCACAAAACAGCCAAGCCCTTATGAAGTGAATGCTCATTTTTGCACAGTCATGCTCCATCAGTGTTTTATTCTATTTTTATATGCTTTAGACCAAAGATATAAACCAGGCAAACATCGTAACCATAGTGATCTTCCAGAAGGGGACCATGATGATGCCAGAGGTGGAGAACGTGTCAACTTGACAACCAGTCGATATTACCATGGAAATGTAAGTTATTTTTAGTTCCCCTGCCATAATGCAGCATCTACCCTTGTGTCTGCCTGGTGTCAGCTTTTTTCCTTAGAAAGACTTCCACTCAGTAGATATATGACACAGAGTCAAGATACTGAGAGCATAACATACTGGAAAGGAATGCTTTCAGGTTTTTTTTAATGTACATGTACAACCTTGATCAGGTTTTAATGTTAAAGTGGCTGAAGGGTTGTCAAAATTGTTCAAATAATGACCTTGACCTTGTTTTAATGTCATAGAGATGAAATGTATCAATTTCTGAAAAACTTTTTATTAATAACCAGATGGTCTAGGATTATCCTCAATGGCCAATAATACGCTTTAGCTTTAATGTTTGTAAGTGATACAGGCTTGTTCTAGTTCGAATTTTCTATCACATTTACAAAATCAAAATACCAACTTCATCATTTATTTCTTTTAAACACTTGTAATTCAGTTCTATGATTACAGTATTATGTATTATATATTCTATATTTTGAAATATTTTAATGTATTTTCATATTTTAGTAATATCATTATTATGATAGCAATAAAAACAAACTTTACAGGTTTGAACTAACAAACAGCTTTCACCCTTCAAAGGGATCTTCAGCTTCATTCTCATATCATTATTTACACTAGGCGGTGTAATTCATTAATGTTATCATGACTTAACCAGGCGAATACCAGACCATATTGTTATTTCCGCTAATCCTCTATGTTTTTCATTATGTGTATAGTGTTTATACTAATTTGATATTAATTGTATTTACAGCCACCAAGTGGTTTACACAACACCATTATATCAGGTGCCAATCTGAGGACTAGGAGTAATGTTTGGTTTGGAGAACCCAGGATGTCCAAGACATTCTATGATACCACAACAGATGATAACTTTCACCCAGTCACTGTGCCCTATACCTACAACCGGGCCAAGTTCTACAAGGACAGTGACATCCCCTTGAACTACTATGACAGTAAGCAGCCTTTTCCTTCAGTCATTTCATTAAGCTCTCATAGCCGTTTTTCTGTTTAATATTTGGAGGTCTCAGATTTTCAGTTTTACCTAGCTGATCGTGAATTGGTTACCTCATTACAAATGGCTGCCTCAATTAACCACATAAATTTCACTTGTTTGTCAGTTTAAAATGCAAGTTAAGAAACTGTTACAATGGTTTTCTTTATTTCAGGTTTCAATATTCTCAATTCAGATTTTTAATTTTTTTTTGCTTTTGTGGTAATAAGGATTATGTAATTTTGGATCTCGGTTTATCTGTGACTTCTATGTCACTTTATCAGATGCTGCAGACAGTTAAGATTTAGCATTGTTCATTTAACTTTGTCTACAGAGAGTGAAGCCAAACACACATCCTCCTGGACAGATTACAAGAACCCACATAGGGGGAGGACTGTACCCAATCCTGTGGCCATCAACAACGTAAGTGTTATTGGCATATACCATTAGTGATCTCAATTTTTCCAGAGTTGTCGTTCTTTAACTGTTATACTACACCTCTGTAAAACAACTCATGGACTACCCATGGTTGACCTTGTGGTCAGGGTCAAATCTAGATGTTGGGCAAAAATATGGCAGCATCCCTGTTAACACCAACAAAGGAAAGGCCTGTAGACTGTTATGTATGTCAATGCACAGCATTAGAAATAACATTTAAACTTTTGAGGAGGAAATGTGCCAGTATTGTAACCATCAAATATCACAGTATATGAACATGTATCTTGAGAACATGTAGGTGAAAAACGAAAGTACAAAATGTAAACATAATGGTTGGTGACTGTTTACTCACCATTGTTCTTCAATGACATAATCCATGATGTTTATAGCCATATAAACTAATGTAATCAAATGAACACTGAGATAAATAACAAAACAAAACAAAATAGGGAAATATTTTTTTCATTTTATGCAAAATTGTTTTTCAAGTATCTTGAAATGGTGTCAGCCATTTACAGAGGTGTTATGTAGGGTACAGCAATGCACTCTGGAGAGATTGCTAGTGATATGTATATAAATAATTTACAGTTTTTCATTGTCATAGAAACAAGAACTACTTGTATTTGAAAGTAATTTAAAATACATCTGTTGTAAAATAATGCTGACAATTGTATCTTCATTGAAATGATGGTTGATGGTTAGTAATAAATCTAAAGAACTCTCTTTGACCCTGCTGTGATTGATATTCCTCACTTGATTTTCTTGACTACTTAATCACCCTGCATACTCTCGGGCATTTGAAGAGTAAAGGACCCCAGGACCCAACCAACCAACACAAACAACATTGGCTTGATTAGTAAATCCTTCATGGAAATGTTTTACTTGATTGTGTATATACCACTGGTAAGCTATAATTCTCATTTTTTATTTCCAGTTGAAGAAGTCCCACATTTTGCCCCCACTGAGTGGCCCCCAGAAACACAACACTACCCACCAAGTGACCTTCACCCCTAAGGATGCTGAGCTTTACAGTTATGATGCGGGCAGACTACAGAAGAGTTCAGTCCCCTTGGGCACTATGAGTGCTTAATCATCTATTCTCAAAGTCTATTTACATTGAAAATGGAAGTTATTAGTTGTTTGTTCTCTGTGAATGAGAAAAAAACACAAAGATTTAATTCCTAAATTATATATGAAATGAGTTTGAAATGCTTGATCAGTTGAGTTTAACTGAAGTACCGATTTTGCCACAGTCTACAGTGAACTTGGTTCTGAAAGGTACTACAAAACTTCATACAAAATAACATTACTTAAAATTTGTGCTCAATATGTCTGTGAAAATAAATTTTGTGTATTGAACATTTCATTTTTAAAAACAAATTATTTATTGCTAATGTCATGTGTCTGTTAGTGCTATATGTTGGTATGAAGCTAATCTTCATTGTTTCCTACTGGACTGTGAGATGTGACCATAGCATTCCAGTCAAAAATCAGAAAAAGCATTCCAATCAGTTATTACTGATACTGTAACACACTTGATTTCATACTGAAATAAGAATAATGTACACTAAATATTTCAAGACAACGAAATCAGGAAAGCATGCAGTATTTTCCAACTCTGTGATATTTGTTTGATGTTAAAGTTTGTGTATGATTTTATCGTAGCATTAGTTGTTATATGTCAGTATTACTTAAACTTTTTCAAAGAGAAATTTCATTTTAGAATTCTGACTTTATAAAGAAAACTTTAAATGCAGTGGAGTACAGGAGACTCACAACCAATATGAAAATATTTTTGATATTAAGGCTCTACACTATATATCTATGGTATATGGAGTTATGATTAGGTTTTACTTTGGTTAGTGGATGGTATGGTCAAGTTAGTGAAGGGTATGACCAGATTAGTGGAAGTTATTATCAGGTTAGTGTAATGTATGTTTTGTTTAGTCTGTAGATTTATAGAATGTTTAGATATTCATTTATTACACTGTAAGCATACTGCTGTATTACAAAATATATACTGCTTATTTTTAACTGTGAGCTTTAAAAATACTCCTGTGATACAAGCTATGATTAAAACATACTGCCAGTTACAGTTTTAATATACAACAAGTTTATACTGTAGAACCATGTTTTATATATCAGCATAATAAATGAACATGTCAGAAATTGATGAAGTGCTCAACTATGGTTTACAAAAGCTGTAAATTTAGTGATGAAATACCTTTCTTTTGTTTGGTCAATTCAGTGCCGTTTTTATTTTGTTCGTTATTCTGTGTTGGCCTGAGAACCGGATTGAACATACACATTTATGTCTAGTCCACATGTGTGCTATTTGGAATAAGTTCTGTGTCATACTGATTCATTGTAAACGCAGACTGTTTAGTGAGTATAATGCCAGTATCATATTGTATGTTTGTGATATTTTATGTTATCTCTGCTGTTTTATCAAGTTGTTTTATGTATCTCGGAATGAGGTGAATATTTGGCGATATTTGGTGTTGTTTCTGTCTAGTCAACCAGTGTTAGAATTAACCCAAGTGTAACACTGATTCTTCGGGGATATCTGGTGTCGTTTTGTCTAGTCCAGTAGTGTTAGCATAAACCGAAGTGTAATGCTATATATTTGGCTATGTTGTTGATTTTTTATCTAACCGTGTGTTATGTATCAGTAGACCTTGGAACAGGTGATTTATTTTGTGATACCTGTTATCTATGTCAACCTTCCAACACATTGTCATCTAGTGTTAACCCCAGAAACTGACAGAAAGGTGATAGTTGTTGTTTTTGTCTAGTCTACAGTGTATTACTGTTTGTTTATGTAGATTTTTTTTATAATTGTACACTCCACTAGTGTTGTTAATTTACTTGATATGCCATTTACGTGTTAAACATATACATTTGTTACACATTTATATCTCATATTTTTATCTTTGTCAGTTTAAGATACAAAATGTATTTGTAAATCTATTTTATCTAGTTAACTTAATTTTTTTTTGTAATAATTTTTTAAATAGTACCATACTGAAGTTTACTTCTAAATTAACAATATACAATGGAAGATTTATTTTGAGATCAAATGTGACAGAAAATACATAACCCATTTCAAAAAGGAAAAAAAAATAGTTGACTTTTCCACGTTACATATTCATTGTTATCTCCCTTCCCTGTATCATTTTGCTACAACTTGATGATTGTAGATTTTTTGTCACTTTTAAAGGTTTGCTCAACAGTATAGTTTTATACTCATTTGATTGGTAAAAGGTAGTTTATATATACAGTGTGACTCCATGGTTTGGATAATATATATATTTTGTAAGATTTTAATATCTACAGATAAAGGTTTGTTTTGCTGTGACCAGTATGCAATATGTGTTTTATAAATACATTTACCATGTTATTGTATTTTTTATGAACAGTATTATTTCTAAAAGGTTTTAAAAACTGTGATGTATTCTTGTTGATCAGTATTCCATGTCAGTATTCATATTGTTCTTATTTTTGTATGGAGAACTTATAATCAAATTTATGGTTTTAATTCGATGAAATTTAATTCATAATGAATCTTTTGACAGTATCCCTGTCTTTCACTGAACTGAATAGTTAATTAAAAACGAGCATTTAAATTGCTGGAACTATACATCCTCTATACACAGAGTAACGTTTGTAAAGTCACGTGTTTTAAAGACATTTGGAATATATCATATATGTATATCTTACCATTATACTGTAATCAATTGTTGTGGACATCAAGCATTACAGTCATATAACGAAAACCCTTTTTGGGACTAGAATTGTTCTTTCAGGTCCCAATATTATCATGGTTGGGACTGATGTCCCAATGTTATGATGGTTGAGACTAATGTCCCATTATTATCATGGTTGCTGTGCATTTTGTTTCCCCAGTGTGTTCATATTCTATGTTATAATAATGTGTTGTTTTTAAGAAAGCTCAATCAATAAAAAACTGATAAAAATGTTGTTGTCTGTGATAATGTTGATAGTGTAACACAAATGTAAACATAGGAAATTATAGAGATAACAAAAAGAGAACATCCTTCAGACCTAATATATCATTGTTACTATATTAATGTTACTATGTTATTGTTACTTACCATATATAGTTTATATAGTTGATATAGTAATAGTGATATAGTAACAGTGGTATAGTAACAGTGATACAGTAACAGTCGTACAGTAACAGTGGTATAGTAACAGTGATATAGTAACAGTGATATAGTAACAGTGGTATAGTAACAGTGGTACAGTAACAGTCGTACAGTAACAGTGATATAGTAACAGTGATACAGTAACAGTGGTATAGTAACAGTTGTACAGTAACAGTGGTATAGTAACTGATATAGTAACTATGGTATAGTAACAGTAGTATAGTAACAGTGATATAGTAACAGTGGTATAGTATCAGTGGTATAGTAGCAGTGATAAAGTAACAGTCATACAGTAACAGTGGTATAGTAACAGTGGTATAGTAACAATGGTATAGTAACAGTGATACAGTAACAGTGGTATAGTAACAGTGGTATAGTAACAGTAGTATAGTAACAATGGTATAGTAACAGTGATACAGTAACAGTGGTATAGTAACAGTGGTATAGTAACAGTGATATAGTAACAGTGGTATAGTAACAGTGGTACAGTAACAGTCGTACAGTAACAGTGGTATAGTCACAGTGATACAGTAACAGTGATCTAGTAACAATGGTATAGTAACAGTGGAATAGTAATAGTGATATAGTAACAGTGATACAGTAACAGTGACATAGTAACAGTGGAATAGTAACAATGACATAGAGATACAGAGGTGCCAGCTTAAATTATCCTGGTTTGCTGCAACTTGACCAAGTTATGGTAACATTCATATATTAACAGTGGGGCCATGGTAAAAATGTCTGACAGCCTTTCCTGCCAGCCAATATGAAATAAACTGTTTTTCTATTTCAATGAATGTGGGGGGAGGGGGTGTTTAAATCTCAAAATGTAAATACAAGAAAAAGCATTTTCCTTTTGTTGTTTACTAGAATGTAAACTTACATTTTTATCTGATATTGCAAATGACCCAAGATACACACCCGTCAAAAAATATTATTTTTTGAAATTATCATGGTTTGCTATGGAACACAGGCAGTGGTTGAAAAAGATATGACAATAACATTTGTGCTTTCTACAGTACATGCATAGTAACAGTGGTATAGTAACAGTGGTACAGTAACAGTCGTACAGTAACAGTGGTATAGTAACAGTGATACAGTAACAGTGATATAGTAACAGTGGAATAGTAATAGTGATATAGTAACAGTGATACAGTAACAGTGATATAGTAACAGTGGAATAGTAACAATGACATAGAGATACAGAGGTGCCAGCTTAAATTATCCTGGGACTCTCTAGGACAAGAGATATCTTCTAAGTGTATGGAATTTTGACAAGCACCTTAATATTATGTGTATATAAGGGTAGAGGAATATATATCTATGGACTTCAAATCTTTCAAAACTTTACCAAAAATAAAAAATTAATGTTTATGTTGAAGAGTTTGTGATATGAACACTTCTGAAATAAGAATAAAAATTTAAGACTAAAACACGGTAAAATTCGGAAAAGAAATGTCCCGAAAATACAAGAATTCGTGCCAAATAGAGGGGCTGTAGAATGTATTAAGTATTTTGAATCCTACCAAATGCGTAACCCAAACCAAGTATTTTAAACACGTACCCTAAAAAGAAGAACAGGGTATCAGTGTAATTTCCTGTCGTAATTGTTGAAGGGAAGGAACTCTTGCTTACTTCCAGTATAAACACGGAGTTAAATGTAATCTATCGAAGTTGATAATATTCTTAAAACCACGTTGTAAGATGTGTCCAGCCAAATCAACATTGTTCAAAAACGCTTAATTCGTTATGCACCTTGCAATACTTTCCTGGGTTAACATACGTTATATTTAATTAAATCCCTGTCGCGTTTCCAAAAGCGTGTATACATAGCAATCTGTTATATGTAGTTTTCAATTCTACAAGATACTGTCTATATCCTTAGATTTAACACATATTTACACGCACGTAATTACAGATTATCACTTATATGTTGCGGAGAAGGTTTTGGTCTATGACATCGCTTACTATACGTATGGTACGATGTTTATCGTAATATAATATATACAAATATACATGTAAATAACTCTATTTCCTGTAATTACAGGTAGCCCGAGTTGTGATTACAGCGAATGCGAGTAGCCATCTAATTGCCAAGGGGCCGTACGTGACCTCAAGTGGACAAAACATCAATAATTGGGCGAGTAAGTGGTCACGCTGGCTTGATTTACACCTGACTGGCCCCAAGCCTACCTGGGTTTACACCTGTCTGACCGTACCTAACCAGAGTGTACACAGACCCCACAAATAATACCTCGGTCGCGTCCACCTACAGGTATGTAATTTACAGGTGAGATATATCAGTCGTCACTGTTATATATATATTCTGTCGCACTAACAGGTAGGTAACACACGATTTCAGGTGCGATAAGGGACTATTGACAATTAAAAAAGAATATATAATTACATACTAAAAAAACGCTATGTATTTTATTGATCTTCAGACGTGTAATGAAATATCAATGCGAGAATTATACAAATGTATAAAACGATATATTATAAGGCATCGTTCATTCGTATAATTAATTTTGAAGACCGGTATTCGTTCTCAAATAATTGTTATACACAACTGATTAATAGACTTAAATAGAACGATATTACTTTTGAAATGACATAAATCTTGATTTTATGTCAAAGTCATTATTCAACGTCAACATTGAAAGAAAGAATACTAAATGTTTTCCAAATTATTTACATTGTGTACTATAGTCTACTACATTACATTATACACACAAGAACCTGAATAAAATGACATTTGTATGTAAAATATGTAGAAGTTTGTGAAGTCTGAAAACATGTGATCGATTTTCCTTTAATTGATTTAGAAATAACAGAGTATTTTATAGATTAAGTGGTAATTAACGAAAAAAATCGTAGTATCATACCATTTTGAGAAGAACAGACAGAGAAAAAAATCTTTGAATGTGATTTTTTTTTTTGCATATATCATATATAGTATATTAAATTAAAATCTCGTTTTGTTACATGTTGAGTATTGCACGAGCAGAAATTAAGATATAGACCTTTTCGTACTCGTTATGTTACTACTGAACTTCAATTTGGAAATAACTTTTTTATAACCAACCATAATAAATGTAGTGTAATATATATACACGTCGCCAATGTAATTTGTTGTACTAACACATGTATACAATGGTACGTATCAGCTCTCTAGGAATGTTAGGTGCATTTGGTACGTAACTGTGGCATAACACGATATCCTTTCATTATTCAGAACAATCAAAATATCTTTTATCATAAATATGTCATAGCTTAAATCGCCCGATAATTCCTGTACGTCGTTACATTCATTTGGCTTTGGGAAACGCTTGAAAGCACAGCTAATTTCGGACAATATAATGCATCTCGGGCAGACACTAAACGGAAAAGCAATTTGTTTAGCCTTACTCACGGCGAGCAGAAATCCAGCGTTTTCATTGGTTGACGAGATTTCTCTCGGCCAGTCAGCACTGACCAACCTTTCACTGAGATTAGATGGTAGGCGAACCAAAGAACAAAGAAAAAACAGTGTAAATTTTATGATAGTTCTGTATAACTTTGCAGATCAGTTTAGAACTTGGCAGATTATCCGAAGGATATATTTTTTATGTGCATTTGTGGTAAGTCATTCGAAGTGAGTAAATAGCACAAAACAACGCCTTTTTGGGGGCTTTCCGGTCGCTCGGTATGTTGTACTCTTGTGCTCCGTCATTTTTCATGCCGTGTTACTGGTGTTAAAAGCTGAAAATCGGTTTGTTTATTCAATATTTTGGTGTATTGTGCATTGACTGATGTTTGTTTTTGTTGTTGTGGTATACAGATTTTGTATTTGGTACATTTTACACACGGACGTGGCGTTAAACCGTTTTTATAAATCGTTAAATCGTGAGTACTCTAACAAAATAAACCCAAGTCAAAACTGGGGTAAGGCCCAACCAACAAATATGCACGCGATCACTTTGTAGTCAAGGTCATGCTGTTTCTGTACTGCACGTATCACGTATTTAGATATATAGTATTTTCAACATATTGTTTATTCATCTTGTTTTATGTCGATGATATGATATACAGTATAAATTTGACACGATTACATTATTTGTTAAACATGAGGTCACACCGGTGTCAGTTGAGTGATTGGCATTCCATAGATTCTAGCCTCGCCGTTCGAGAGGACTCCCTCCCCAGACAGAAATAACACAACATGGCTACCAAAATTTCACAATTAATTCATAGACGATTTGCTCGTTTGAAATCTGTTGTTTATGGGATTCGAATACTGAAGACATTGTGTGATCTCTGAGGCAAACCAACACGTGATGTAACTATTATTATTGAGTTGTGTTGATTACGTGTGTTTAAATAATGTATAAGCTTCGAAGTACAGCAACAACACAAAGCTTTGTTGTGAGTTTAACCACTCGACTACAAAAATATGGTTATGATTTTTTAATTATAGTACATTACATTCAAGCATTCGATTTCCAACATGGCTGATCACATGTAATCCCCTCCCTGTTCTCCCATACCACCTATAAAACGTACAGAAAAAAATGCTTTGCCAGCTATATTCATTATGGGGAACAATGAAATGATAAGTTAAGGTTTAGTTTAGAAATGGATATATAAAATGTCACTTTCTACATAAAAATATGTTCATGTTTCTCCGTGAATTGAACTAGAAAACAACATTGTGTTGGACAATTGTCAGCACATGCATGCCATGTTAGACCTACAGTATATGGTCCAGTTTTAGACATTGTAACATCAACAGAAAAATATTGGAGAGAGGAATGCTGGTTTATATGATTAATAATATTTAAATAGAAAAATGTATGTCTATATGATTACCGCAAAAATAGATGCTAGTATTAATTTGTACAATGAGAGCTTTTATTACATAAACAAGTATACATTTTGAAGCCTGTGGGTATCTCCCCTATATCTTAGTAATTATATATGTCTCCACATACACAAAGATTTTGTGGCGAAATTGATCTTGGAATATGAGGAAGTTAATCAAGATAATTTGAATTTTACAGTAACAGATCACTAGAAATAAAGATTGTCTATAAATGATTATGAATGCATATATGCTAAAAAAACCAACAGATAAAATTGCGAAAACCCTGCTGTTTTGAAAGACTCCCCAGGGTAAAATGCTTATCATAGTTTCTATCAGTACAGACATTCAATTGTTCCTCCAGTTTTGTTTATCTTGTGTTTTTGTAACGGTTGGACTGATTGTATTAGATCTGAAGTAAATAGATTTCGGCCTAGGGTTGTATGAATGGTATTGATGTATGCCCTGACATGAGATTTACTGTTTCCTGAGTCTTTCCACTTAATCTTCTCACTGACTGTGTCCCATGTGTATAAATTAACATGGTCAGTATGAAGTACAATGTAATCTGTGGATTATGAAATGTAAGTTATTTGACAATTCTGTATACACAATTTGCAGATCAGTTTTGAAATGTTCTTTGTTCTGGTGGTATTATCCTATGATTAATGTCCATTTAGAAACATGTACTTTTGCTTGTCTTCCAATTAGTGTGTATAATTTATAGACATCGCTACATTTCATTATCTGAAAACATGACAGTAGACCAGATAACATGTTAACTCATATCCACTTCCTGGTACATGTCACAAATAATTATGTACTGTAAAATATAGAGGACATTCAACAAATAATTAATGTGGGGAGTGAATTTTCATGCAAGATCTGCAGTGCCTAGTGTCTATTTCAGAATAAATTTATAATTATAAATATTTTATATAATCAAATTAAAGGTGTAAGACATGTCTGGGATGTTTTAAAATCTTCCCAAAACAAATTACAGCTTCTGCAAGTGCAACTTGTTTGACCAGGAGAAAATTTGACGCAAGATATTTTCGATACAAGTTGAGTAGTACTGGGATGTCATATTGTGATTTACAGTTACAAGCATATCGTAAAAACATTGTTTCATTGTTTTATAATCAAGGATGTCATTAATAATCATGTCCAGCACATTGTGTTATGTAATGGCTTCATTTCTATGTTGTAGTCAAGATGTAGATGTCGAGGAACAGTGTGGCTCGGTCAATGTAATCCTATATTGACCTTCAACATGACCTTCAGATATTGAAATATCATCTTTTGTATCACCTGGAATGTTCATGACTTTGGCAATAGATGGAACTAACAACGAATCTACGCAGTAAGAAAATTGGCAACTGGGCTTCCACCAAGTTTCAATTTTCTTCAGTGAAGAGTAGGTCTGTAGGGATCAAGTATGAGTGGTATGGATCACCAGGCTACAGTGGATAATAGGGGATTAAGAATGAAAATAAAACGTACCAAAAATATGGGACCTACAAGCAACAAAAGCGACACCAAGCACGAAATTGTCAAACCCGGAGAAGCTAAAGCAGCACATGGATCATCTTCCTCATCATCTGCCTCTTCGTCGTCAACAGTTACAGATGGAATCTCACCAGCTAACGGGTCTACTGTGGATAAGTCAAAACTGTCTACAGCCACTGACAGGGACAAATCTCCAAAGGTGAAAAATTTGCACAAAAGAGAACGTAGCAAAGAGAAAATGAGTAAGGATTGTAATGCTACATCACTGTCCTCTGTTTGTTCACTTGATGTGCCATTTTCTCAAGTTTCTTTGGAACCTAACCAGGCAGAAGTTCCGCAGGGGAAAAAAGAAAACCTTCTACCTGATCCCTATGAGTTTAATGCTAAAGTGGAGGACGGTATTGGTTTTCCTGTTAAAAAGATAAAAAGTGAAAAGGTGCGATACAGTAGATACTATTTGTTACAGTAGATGTCATGGAATTCTGTACTGATCACATTATAATTAATTGAGTTAAGAATCAAAATTATTAATGTTTTTAGAAATATATAATGCAACCATTATTATTACTGCCTTTAGGTTATTACAGAAGCTTTAAAAATTATGCTGTAGATTTCAAAAGATGAATGTATTTTTGATTCAGCTGTTTCACGAAATTCCATGGCAATTACTGTATGTACTGATTGCACGTTCGGTTGTCTAAGCAACGTTAGAATGCAAGCTGACCTACTCCCACACTCCATACAACCAGCATTAGTTCACAGTGTCCTTGTTTAGATATGGTGCAGTTAAAAATGGAGAGCATGGCAATTAGTATTTAAGTTAATGTGTTAGGGAAAGAGTCTTTCTTTTTCTTTCAAAATTCCAATAACTGACAATTAAGGTAACAATCTTGTTGTGCCAACATATTTCAGATATTCAAAATTTTCCTTTAGGACTTAAAGATTTCTAGACAATAAAAAAGGATTGTTGGATAGTTAAATATGACACCATATTCACTTGGTCATTGTGTAAACCCCTTTGCTCAGTATACCAGACAGAGCAGCTAATATATATTGTAGTTATATGCTGAGGTAGTAAACGGGTCTGAGGGATAGTAGGGTTATCGTCCTAGTGCTTATATGTACCTGCTAATAGTTCCAATGTTGTGGCTTCTGCATGAAAAAAAATACACTTATTTTCAGTTTAAAATGCTTATCTTTATCAAGGATTTAGTAAATAGCTTGGTTCTGTTCATTTGAAATAAAAGGTTTCGCTAGCAATACTTGATTGGTAATGGCATGTATACTTGTTTGCTTTGTTCAAGCATATCCACTGGCATTATGAGGTTTCATGTGTGCAAGTTGACAGTGGACAGAGGTGCTCAAAGTAGAATCTTGACAAAAAATTTGCATGACTTGACAGAGGCTAGAATACATCATGATCTTCTTGTGCTTTATCAATATAAGAAACTGCATGTAGTGCTTATACGATATATATGGTGATTAGTAACATTACAACTCTCATTTTTTGTTTAAATATAGAAAAAAATTCAGCAGAAAGTGAAATGAAATAAAATATGCAATGGTCTTTTAATATATTTATTGTTGATTTAAATGAAGAACTATAACTTTCAATATCTGAAATTTAAATATAGAATGAAACCACACTTTATAAACCTGTATTTATTGGTGATAGAACTTGAGTTAATAATTTTTAACTGTTCTGACTTTCAGAATGATGCATCTACCTCGTCCAACTCTCAGACACAGAGTTTGACCAATGCCAGTACGGAGACCTGTAGTATAGGTGTCTCTACTGATTCTGAATTCCTCGGACCATGTGAACCTGGAACCAGTGTCACCCTTGAAGGAATTGTGTGGCATGAAACTGAGAATGGTAAGAAACATGTATCATTTTATCTGATAATTGGTTTGTTTAGCCATGTAATACACCTATGTCATAAATATAATTTAACACGTGTGATGATGCTTTGTGTATTGTGCTATATAATGTCTCATGATTGTCTCGATGGGGGGAAAGTGAGGAGTAAATGTCAGTTATCTTGTCTTATAAATTAATTTGAGAGTTTTTGCTGATTTAACATATATATGAGCTATGTGATAATAGAATGATACACTTATATTGTATCATTGGCTTCATGAAACAGATATTAGGCTTTTTACACCTCTTACCTCGCGGCTGATGACATACCAAATCATTTATATTATGGTCCTTCAGCCTTTCAGTAGACAAGGAAGTTAAATAATTAAACTTGTTTTTTAACACTTTTATGATAAAATAAGCAGATTTATAAATGAGATGTGGGATGGAGAAAATTTTTGTTTAGTGTAAAAAGCCTGGCATGGAAATTCTGCCATTGCCTACAGTTAGTTTATACATTATACCTATGATAAAATACTGAAATATTTAATGTTATTGTGTAATTGATCTTATTATTTTCTAATCCATTGATATTTTAGCCTTCAATTTCATTTAATATATTCAATTGTTTAAATGTCTCATTGATGTTGTTTTCTGGGTTTGAAACAGCTTATGTTTTCATCAGTCATTACAGAATAGATATAGGTTTATATCTGTATGTACAGAATAGATACAGGTTTATTGCTGTATGTACAGAATAGATACAGGTTTATATCTGTATGTACGGGAGATATATAGGTTTATATCTGTATGTACAGAATATATATAGGGTTATTGCTGTATGTACAGAATATATATAGGTTTATATCTGTATGTATAGAATATATATAGGTTTATAGCTGTTTGTACAGAATAGATATAGGTTTATATCTGTATATACAGAATATATATAGGTTTATTGCTGTTTGTACAGAATAGATATAGGTTTATATCTGTATATACAGAATATATATAGGTTTATATCTGTATTTACAGAATATATATAGGTTTATTGCTGTTTGTACAGAATATATATAGGTTTATATCTGTATATACAGAATATATATAGGTTTATTGCTGTATGTACAGAATAGATACAGGTTTATAGCTCTATGTACAGAATATATATAGGTTTGTAGCTGTTTGTACAGAATATATATAGGTTTATTGCTGTATGTACAGACTAGATATAGGTTTATATCTGTATGTACAGAATATATATAGGTTTATATCTGTATGTACAGAATATATATAGGTTTATATCTGTATGTACAGAATATATATAGGTTTATATCTGTATGTACAGAATATACATAGGCTTATAGCTGTTTGTACAGAATATATATAGGTTTATATCTGTATGTACAGAATATATATAGGTTTATATCTGTATGTACAGAATATATATAGGTTTATATCTGTATGTACAGAATATATATAAGTTTATAGCTGTATGTACAGAATATATATAGGTTTATTGCTGTATGTACAGAATAGATATAGGTTTATTGCTGTTTGTACAGAATATGTATAGGTTTATATCTGTATGTACAAAATAGATACAGGTTTATTTTGTATGTTTCAAAGTAATCAGCAGTTGAATTGTTGAAAGAAAGAGGCATAAAAATTTGTCAGGTACGGTTGTTTACATATCCAGTTTGTTCCCAGAATGATTTTTCTGAAAATTGATAGATAAAAAAATATATATATATATATATAATATGTACATGTTTATGGTGGAGGAATCAGTTTAATCACTAAACAGTCCTAAAATTTTATATATCACATGATATAAATTCAGATCTATATATTGTATACACATGCACTATGTATAAATGACCATTGAAATATTCACTTACATGTAATATCATTTTTTCAGGAGTGCTGGTTGTCAATGTGACTTGGAGAGATAAAACTTATGTAGGAACACTGCTAGATGCTACCAAGCATGACTGGGCTCCTCCAAGGTGAGTGATCCTCATCCGGAAGGCAAAAAGTACTGCACACTCACAAACCTTACATATTGTTAGGAACATTCACTGTCTCAGCGTATCAGACTGAAATTCTTTCATAATCCTTTAGAATCGAAAAAGACATATTAGTCACTATACAAGATTGGCAAAGTACCAGAAAGACAATCCTCATGGGTATCAAGAGTGGCCTTTTTTACCTCTAAGAATGGGGATATTTCAACCTCAAGGAATCAGAAGGGCTCCTTTCTCACGAATGTCCTCACAATACTTAGCGCTACTGGTTATATATATATAGTTGAAACTTGTTATCTCGAAATTCAGAGGACAGTGGAAAATATTTTATCTTATCCAAAGTTCGACTCAAATAAAGTGATAATATAAGTTTCCTGACTTTGACTACGGTTGAACGAAGTATGATAGCATGGTACACCATGGTACAAACAGGGTAATTTAATCTGTTATTTGAAATGGCAGTAAATAAACAGAAACAAATAAATTTCTACTTTCTCTTTTTATTTTTTATTCATCCAAACAACAAAACATGTCATAACAACATCAATCAACTACGTTTGCACTCATGTTGTTCCATCCCACACACGTGTACACTACCCTTACTGATGAAGCACATAATACATTTTTTCTGAAATGACAATAAAAGGAAAATAAAATTTGCTTTTGATATGTTACTAGAAATGATGTATAGAGCTACAGATCTTATTAATATGACTTTACTACGAATAAATTAACATGAAAAATACGGTTCTAGAAAGTTCTTACCTTTTATCAAAAACATCATACAAGCACTAGACTTAACAAATCATGCACAGATATAGACTCTATCAACGAAAAATACCTTCAGCATGTCATTGTTCAAACACTAAATCTGACAAAGTGCCTCATCACTGTCCTTTAGTAAACCAGCTTAAAAATTAGCCTCTCTCAGAATTGTAGGGACCAGATTTCGTCAGAAAGTTTGTACTGGTTTGACACTTTCATTTTTATTGTTTCTGCAGATACACCCAGCCTACCAAAATGTTTTCATATCTTTTGTGTAAAAGCACTGCTACAGGATGGTGACATAAATTAAGATGCTAACTTTTGATTGGGTAATTAAACTGGTAATTAATTTATAGAGACCAAGTGTTGTGTGTACGATTGACTGATACGCCGTAATTAGCCATGTGTTACTTGAGAAGTGTAAGTTATCAAAGGACTACATACATTTGTGATCTTGATGAATATCACAGGGACATTCCTTACTACAAAATATGAAATCAAATTGAAGGGACATTTGCTTTACTTTAAAGTATAAAATAAGACCTTCCTTTGTCAAAGGAATTGGATGGAATCTCAGTCCCAGGGCCTTTCCAGGGTATCAGGACTTTCCCTGTTCCCCTTCTCAATGCATCTGAGGGAGGCACGTTCCTTATCTTAGGGTGGGTAAGGGACATACCCTTCTCCAGAGTATCTGACAATCCCAAACTCCAAACCATCAGACAGACATGCCTTACTTCAGAGTATATGATATACCTACCTCAAGGGCGTCATAGGGACTTACCTTCATTGGAGTGTCTGGCATTTCCTCCTCAGTGCATCAAAAAGCTTTACATTCCCTATGTCCAAATGTCTTAGGAACATTCACTACTCAACAGTGGCTGCACTGTTTGAAAGACATTTCTAATCTCCACTGCATCAGAGGGCCAATCCATTCCCCAGACCTGATTGTCAGAGGGATGTCCTCTATTTCATAGTGCTGGCACTGTTTTGTAGACAATTTGTTGCCCAGGGCATCAGAACAGCAATACATTCCATATACCCCAGTTTATAACATTACGATTTCATAATTTTCAATGATACAAATATATATGCTTTTTAATAATATATATAATGTGGAGGGAATACTTGATACTGAGTAGAGATTAATAAACAAAATAAGAAAGCAGATTACAAATTAAACTTTGATAACATGAAATTACCTTAGGTGAATTTTTAATGTGAAATCTGAAACTAACACTGCTTTAAATAAGTTTAACAGAGTAAAACATTCACATTCAGACATAATATAACCAGATTAACTTTAGCAATCAACATGATATTAGTAGGTTTTATGTTGTCTTCAAAGATACCTAATTTTTTCCATAAAATAAAATCTTATTTCTGTTTTACCACAAATCTACAGGTTCAACTGCGATTCTCCGGTCAGTGAGTTTGAGACCAGAACCCCTAAAGGGAGAGCCAAAAGGGGAAGAGGTTCTGCTTCTACAACACCTGTCAATGAAAAGGGGCCAGAAGGACGAAAACTTCGCAAAGGACGGAAGGGGAGCAACACATTTCAGGCCCCACCCAGTCCTGCTAAGTCTGAACCTTCAGTATCAGGTGGAATGAAACGGAAAGGACGTCCCACAGATATAGATTTATCAGCGGGCATGACTAAACGCAGCAGGTCATGTTCACAGGGTAATCAAGGCACGGAAAGTCCTGTTTCCACCTTGATTGAATGTCCAGAGCCAAATTGTGGTAAAAAATACAAACATCCAAATGGACTGAAATATCATCAAACACATGCCCACCAGAGTTCGGGGGTCACAACTGATGTGGATGAGGACACAAGGGACACTTGTGATAATGTGGATGATGATGTGGATAGTAGTATTGCTGATCCCTCTGAAGCCCCAGACTCCAGCTCTACCAAGTTGGGCAAGTCTGCTGAGGCAATGGAGGAAGAGAACAAGAAAGAGGAAGAAGGTGCTAAATCAGATAGTGAGAATATGGAGGATGTAGAAGTTGATGTGAATGGAGACACACCAAAGACAGATTCAGTAGAGAAAAAAGAACCTGTTGTGACTACTAGTGTTCCTGTAAATAAAAATGCAGGTGGGAAAGCAATAACTAGTATACCATCAGGGAATGCCTTCCAGATTGTGTCTAAGCAACATATTGCATCTCCTACATTCGGAGGGGTTGGTTTGCTTTCTCAAAGTCCACTACAGACTGGGTCTTTACCCAGTGGTCAGGTTTTGCCACTAGTCACGGCAGTAGCAACCACCAATCCTATTCAAACAGGGAGCACTCTCACTGTAGCAGCTATATCTGCTTCAACACAGCCTTTGGATCTTAAAACTGAATCGTCTAAAACTGAAAAACCAATTCGCCCAAAGATTAGTCATATTATGCCACAGATTGTTGCCCTGACAACCACTGTGTCAGTTACCCACACTAATGCATCACCTGTCACCACATCCAACTTACAAGGTACCTCTCAGCTAATTCCAATACAGCCAAAACCAACTCCCCCAGGGGAGACAGCAGCACCAACCCCATCATTCCTGGGTCTTAATAGGGACAGGAAACTGAAACAGAAGAAACGAGACAAAGTGAAAGAGAAAGAATCTCCTTTGGTTGGTCCACCAATAAGTCAGAGCTTAGCCGCTGCACCAATGAGGACTGGTAAAGTGGAACCATTAAAAAATGAACAACAAAGTGCAGGAGTCATTAAAGTGGCTCCGATTATAGCTAGCAAACCTATGGATCATAATAAATCAGAAACTTCTACAATAACAAGTGCTCCAAGACTTGACCGAATGGACAAGCCCTTGTCATTGTCCACTTCAGGTGCCAATGTTGGTGTGGTGACTGCCCAAGTGCAGCCCTCCCCCAAAGGGGTGGACCTGTCACAAACGCGACCAATAGATACTCCCAGTATGTTGAAGGTGAACCCATCTCTGGCTGCTCTTGATAGCAGGTCAAACAGAAATGAAGAAGTACAGAGTCCCTCATACTATTCAGACATTTCAGAGGAGTCGGGATCTCCAGCAACTCATACCCAAAGTGAAAGCCCTCAGAAAAACAAGGATGAGGGCTTAACAAAAAATAGAGACAATGCCCCAAATGTGCCAAACATGCCCCCGTCCCAACCTTCAGTGATGGATAGCCAGTCTGTTCCCCCTTACATGTATGGCTCCTACTATGGGCAGTCAGCCACGCCTTACCTACTGTCACCACAGAATATGTCATCTCCAGTCGGCACAAGTTCTGGGCCAAACACGCCTTCGCAGCAGCCACCACCCCATCCTCACCATCCATCACAACAGCCCCATCCTCATCACCCATCACAACCACATATAAGTTCACAGACACCTAACAAGGACAGAAACACTCCTTCAGAACAATCCAAACCTGATTCAAAACTTAAACGAGATGATTCCAAAGACTCTGATGGCAAAGACGATCGTGGAGATAAAGGTGAAGGTCGTGGAATGACGCAGCAAGAGTACCAACACATGCAGCACCAAAAATGGGTCCAACAACAGATGTACGCCCTGCAGATTCCACCGCATGCTCAGTACCAGTTCCTAGCAACATACGGACCCTACTTTGACAATGCCTACCATATGCATATGATGTCTAATGATGCCTTGTATCGGCAACACCATGAGCAGAAGGCTGTTGAGGAGGAAAAGAATCGTGGAGATGGGGATAGGAAAGAGGGAGATAAGCCCATGCTCAGGCCATCTACCTCCACAGACAATGGTTTAAGTCAGAGTGGGGATGGTGTATCTAGTAGAGGACCTATGCCTCCAGGGGACGGTCACCATGGACACAAAGAGGGCGACCACAAAAGGACTGCCTCAGAAACACTGTCAGAGAGGGAGCTTAAAGAAAAGAGCATGCGAGAAAAGCAAAATGAGAACCATCAAATCATTAAGGAAAATCTAGATCTCAAAGATCAAATGGATAGAAGTAGACTAGACCAAAGATTTGATCCCATGTATGGACGTGATAATTCACGTGATAAAACCAGTGAGGAACAGCGAAGGATACAAATGTATCGACAGCAGGCAATGATAAGACATCAGAAGCGGGAGGAACAGCAAAAGAAATTAGGTGATGGTAATAAATATGAACACAGACCTTCTGATTCTAAATCCTCAGTCATTAATCAGGTCAGCAACAGCAGTGGGGGGGCTGAGGGCAGACCAAGGGACCACTCAATAGGGTCAGAGGCAGGCAAATCTAAAATGGAAATAAAACGAGAACCAGAAGATAAAGGGTTCAGAGACCCTAGTGATGCAAGTGATCCAAAAGTATCAAGTGGTGACAAAAATAAGTCATTAACATCATCATCTTCTTCCTCTTCATTAGATAGGATCAGAGGACATGACACCCCAAAGGGTAAACCTGGGAGTCGAGTGTCCAGCCCTCACACACCCTCTTCCAACCCCTCCAGTTTAATTCCCTCATCAATGACTGCCACAGGCCCTAACGGGCCTCCCTACCCAGCCTACATGTACCCTAGTCAGTATATGCAGTCTTCAATGTATGGACAAATGCCGTTTGAGCCCACCCACCCAATGTATCGTGGGATGAATCCAATGATGTATGGTGCTTATCTTCATCCATCACAAATTCCTCCATATCCTGTCAATATGGAAATGGATGAAAAGGAGAAAATTGGTTTGGTACAGAAATTAGCTCCTACAGAAAGTGAGAGTAAATTAACAGACCCTAGCCATGGACCTCTCTATCACAGCAGCTCTGCACCAAGTGCTACAAATAATAGTGCAAGTGGTATAAACAAGGCAAATAGTGGCCATAAAATTCATGAACTTCAGGAAAAGACTAGGTCAAGTCCCCACAGGGCTTCACCAGTGTCTGTTGGTAAATCTGATGGACCACCCACCCCCACCCATTCCATAGGGCCAGTGGACAAGAACCGCGAGTACAGCAGTTCTCCACCAACTCAGAGGCATGTTCACACCCACCATCACACCCACGTCGTGGAGGCTGCATACCCTGTCAGTTACTACCCAGGTAAGTCTTGATATTCAGAATCACACAGAGGATACTGTTGATTGACTTGGTAAGGAATTAATTAAGAGCAAAAAATATGACAGAAGGGAAAACAATAGAAAATATCTAAACTGCAGAGGTAAAATATTTTCTTGTAATAATTCTTAAGTCGATAGGGTAACGGGACAAAGGTTTATGATTTTACTGAAGAGAATTACACCGGGATGGGCTTATACCAGACATGGGCTTATTGCTGGATAAATATGGTGGCCTCTCATGTTATATATTCATGACATAAATCTGCTTGGAGTATGTTGATGAGGGCATGTTTGAGGTGCAATAGCTCCGGTTATTTTTATCTACTTTCTGTTTTCTTTCCAGTATGACAAAGTGTTGGTAGCTTAGGTGGGATGGAAAGAGGTTACAGGTACTTTGAATCTTTAAACAACTTTTAACACATTAAAGATGTGAATTTCCCAACAAAAAGATCCATTTGTTGTGGGTGTTCAGCCAATGTGTTCTAGATCTATTCCATTTGTAAATATAATGATATGTTACATGTTCAAGGATAGTGCATGATACAGTTCAGACTGACTTCAGCTTTGTCTCGACAATAAAATTGTTTTCTTGTAGAGTTTTAAGGTTGTGAGGTACATTGTAGCTTTCATAGCTTCACTTGGTCTGATGTGAGGATATAACGTGTTGAGTTAAGAGTAATAAGTTCGGATTTACATCAATATCTATTTTAATGTATATAATCAATGGTTCTTCTTCACTGCAAACCAACTTTTGTTCGTAAATATAAACTTTAAGATATCTACATTACAAGAAGATCTTGGTGATTAATAGAATGGATATATGGACTTATAAACTGACTTTTGGTGTCATAGTGTTAAATAACTATGTAAGTTCATATTGCATCAACTGGCTGAAACAACCTGTGCATTGTTTTGTTGTTATCTATAACAGAATTGTAAATAAAAAAGTATCGTAAAAATTACATCAGATTATTATACAAAACTGTGACAATATTCTTTCCAATGTACTGTAAATGTACATGTTTTCGCAATATTAAGTGCTTTCCCACAGAAATTATGGCACTAAAACATAGTTAACTAATTTCAGTTTCTAGGTTATTTACTCAGTATTGCGCTTAACCTAGTTAATTAATTTCAGTTTCTAGGTTATTTACTCAGTATTGCGCTTAACCTAGTTAATTAATTTCAGTTTCTAGGTTATTTACTCAGTATTGCGCTTAACCTAGTTAACTAATTTCAGTTTCTAGGTTATTTACTCAGTATTGCGCTTAACCTAGTTAATTAATTTCAGTTTCTAGGTTATTTACTCAGTATTGCGCTTAACCTAGTTAATTAATTTCAGTTTCTAGGTTATTTACTCAGTATTGCACTTAACCTAGTTAATTAATTTCAGTTTCTAGGTTATTTACTTAGTATTGCACTTAACCTAGTTAATTAATTTCAGTTTCTAGGTTATTTACTTAGTATTGCACTTAACCTAGTTAATTAATTTCAGTTTCTAGGTTATTTACTTAGTATTGCACTTAACCTAGTTAATTAATTTCAGTTTCTAGGTTATTTACTTAGTATTGCACTTAACCTAGTTAATCAATTTCAGTTTCTAGGTTATTTACTTAGTATTGCACTTAACCTAGTTAATCAATTTCAGTTTCTAGGTTATTTACTTAGTATTGCACTTAACCTAGTTAATTAATTTCAGTTTCTAGATTATTTACATAGTATTGCACTAAAAGATGATTTAATAATTTCAGTTTCTGTTTTACTGACATATTATTGCACTAAAACATAGTTTAATAATTGCAGTTTCTGTTTCATTTACATAGATTTGCACTAAAATATAATTAACTAATTTCAGTCTCTGTGTTGTAACCCAGTAATCATGTGGATGGATGTACTCATTGTTGCACTAATTTTCACAACAGATTAAATAGAATTTAATTGGACCAGAATAAGTCTGTTTACAGTATGTTATTACATACCAGTATATTTATACATGTAATAGCTACCCATGGTATTACTGGTTTCTTTTGTTCTGTTATTGTAGTACTAAAACCCTAAACATGTTTACCTGATTTACAGGTATGTTCCCCGGTGCTAGTCAACAGAAGTCCCCTCCTGCTGCGACAGTCCAACCTCAGCCAGGCCATCCTTCGTATCCACCACCAAAGTGAAGTTTGTAACAGATAGTGATTCATGGATAACGGGACACCACCTTCCCATGGCCAGTTAGATTGAAGTTTGTTTCAAGCTATGTGATTGGTGGGTGCTTGCAGTATTCTTATTGATCTGTGCCAATTTGAAGTGAGGATTATAAGTGTCATCAGTCCACACTTGACCAATGTTCAGTGGTTTTTGCCAGTAGGTCAATAAGGGATTGATGGAAACATTTCCTACTGTATATACAGTTGCAGCAGTAAACTAAGCGTCTACCCCAAGGTTTATGTTACACCAAATCAACAATAACAATTATGTAAAAACCCATGTGATAGATAGATATCACTACAAAGTCCATTTGTAAAGAGCTGTTTCATTGGTTGGACATTCTGATTGTCCCAAGTCAAATGTGAATCAACAGTTTAGATTGGGGAACATTTATTTCAAACAGAAATTTTATGTTGAAAATGTGTATGTTGAACATGTGTATGTTGAGGATGTGAGAAATGTTCAGGAAGTGAATGTGTTTTTTCTCTTATGTTTACTTTGTCTGATCAGCTCAGCAAAGCTCTCTTGTTTACCTGGTCAGTAGGTACCAATAAGGACAGTGAGGCTCTCTTGTTTACCTGGTCTGTTGGTACCGATACGGACAGTGAGGCTCTCTTGTTTACCTGGTCTGTAGGTACCAAAAAGGACAGTGAGGCTCTCTTGTTTACCTGGTCTGTAGGTACCAATACGGAAAGTGAGGCTCTCTTGTTTACCTGGTCTGTAGGTACCAATAAGGACAGTGAGGCTCTCTTGTTTACCTGGTCTGTAGGTACCAATAAGGACAGTGAGGCTCTCTTGTTTACCTGGTCTGTAGGTACCAATCAGGACAGTGGGGCTCTCTTGTTTACCTGGTCTGTAGGTACCAATCAGTACAGTGGGACTTTCTTGTTTACCTGGTCTGTAGGTACCAATTAGTACATTGAGGCTCTCTTGTTTACCTGGTCTGTAGGTACCAAAAAGGACAGTGAGGCTCTCTTGTTTACCTGGTCTGTAGGTACCAATCAGGACAGGGGGTATCTCTTGTTTACTTGGTCTGTAGGTACCAATCAGGACAGTGGGGCTCTCTTGTTTACCTGGTGTGTAGGTACCAATCAGGACAGTGAGGCTCTCTTGTTTACCTGGTGTGTAGGTACCAATCAGGACAGTGAGGCTCTCTTGTTTACCTGGTGTGTAGGTACCGATCAGGACAGTGAGGCTCTCTTGTTTACCTGGTCTGTAGTTATCGACCAGCACAACAAGGTCCTCCTGTTTACCTGGTCTATAGGTTCCAATCAGCACAACAAGGCTTTCTGACAGTGTTTTCTGGTCAGTTCATGTCTTTGATAAGTCCCAGGTAAGCAGAGGTTCGATCTATGTCACAGTCCACTGGTTGTGTGTCAGCCAGTGCTATCAGTTTTCTAGTTCATTGCTATTTTAATCAAAATTGTACTTTTGTATACTTGAAAAATCCTTTCTGTGTAAGTATACATTAGGTTTAAGAGCCTGGTGGATGTTGCAGTCTCTGGGTTGGCTTGAGAGTCTCTGTTAGGTCAGATTTCCCCTATTTACCTTCACTTGTGCTGAAATAGGAAAGCCATTCTGTCATCATGTACAAAATATTTTTAAATATTAGGAAAGAATGTATTGGGCACTTTTGATATGTGTAAACTTTAGTCTTTAGCATTGCACCGTGCCAAACAGTAGTTATATTCTCTTTGCATTTCATTAAATTTTGAATGGCAAAATGACATAGCATAGAAGTGGGAGACTTGAATGTTCAGAGCATAAAGATTTAGTCCTATTTTTACTTATATTGTGAGATGTGGTGTACACATATATCTCTAGCCAAACTGCCCACATGTGATATTTTCGCGAGACTTGTGAGGATGTGTGTGGTCTTCATCAATCATGGGGTGTAAGTGAACGTTTTTCATGTATGACTACGGACCAAACAGATGACTTATGAAATGTACAAGATAAATATTTGCCGATACAATAGTATTGGTTGTATAAAGGTTTGTAGTGGTCTATCTATGCTTATGAGCACACTGAAGTATGAAGTTGTCAAAGTACATGTTGGGTTCTTTTTTTAGAACTAAAGACAAAATGATTTTTTTTATCTTACCTAGTTTGAGCAAAAAATGGGCATGGATACGCTTATAGAATTGCAATTTAAAATCCAAATGTGTGGTTTTTTTAGGTAACTTTATCTTTTGCAATATATATTAGTCCATCCACTTAGAACTGAATACTTTTATTACTTAGTACAGGAATGTGTTTTATATATGCAAATGAACCAAACGAGAATTGTGAATCTCATGTCTTGCCCTTTTTTTTATACCATTTTCTCAAATTAAGTTAAAATAGATCTTTACTTTTAAGTTGTGATACTATCTATTAGTACTGGAAAATACCAAATTAAGATGAATCAGGTATTCAAATTCTCCAAACAATTCTAGATTTAAGAGCACAAAAAAAAAAAAATGCCTTTACAGAGATAATGTAAAACCAAGAAATTTTACCTACTTATTGCACAGGATTTTGTGAGTGTCTGTTGTTCTCTAGGTTATATCCACAGCTGAAGTGTACCACAGTAGGATGTTTTCAAGAGCAACATTGTTACTGAACAACATATATTAATTCAAAATATTTAAATGTGTAAAGCAAGCTGTTTGTAAAATAGGATTACAAATTGATCAATAGTAGTAAAACTATTTAGATTATCATTTATGTAAATTAAATTTTTGTAAAAGTCGGAATGTCTTATCCTTACGGTCTTATTTCTAATACACATATTTCTTTACAACCATTATGATAACTGTTATTTAGTGGTATTTCCCTATGCAGGGCATTTACTGGGTGCCATTGTTTTCATGCAACAGAATAGTCTTTTTTTAATTTGCAATATATTTGAATGTTCTAAAGGTTAGCTACGTATATATTCTTGTCTGTAGACAGACAGTGATTGGTCGGGCAGTAGATTTTATAGTAACCAAGTGTGTATGACTAATTATAAATCAAATTGATAAGGGCATGTTAGTTTCAAGTAAAAGCTAAGATTGAGTGTTGTGTGCTAGTCCGAATGCTGGACGTGTGGTCTTCATGGTAATGACCTTGACCTTTATGACCTCTGGAAAAGTTGTACGGGACCCAGTGATTTCTCATGTATAGTGAGTTTTAGTTGTCCATTCTGTTGATGGTAACGTGAACAACTATTGATCTACTGTTGGGTGCTATCTATACATTGTCTACCTTTATTTTCTTTGTATTCTAAGTCATTCCAAAGATTACTTACAAGTATATAAAAATTTTTTTATAGACAGTGTGATGGCCTGCTAGTGTTTTAATGGAACATCATATTATCTAGAGGTTAATTGTGCCTGAACTTTGTGTAACAATAGCTAAAACTCTTGGGAATACAGAATTAAAACATTCACTTGATCACAGGTTTACCTAAAAAGAAAGATTTAAAATCTCATAATTTTCTAATGATAAATAACCTATTTTCATTGGTATAAATGATTTTCTGAAAATGATATATCAAAGGTTTCCATGGAAACCTAGAGCAGGCATAATTCTTTCTCTGCAGCTCACATACAGGCTTGTGTATGTTATTATTTTTAAATCAAAATTTCTGATTTCGTTTGTAATGAATGGTGTCAGTTTATACACTGCTGTTGTTGCTATGATGTTTCTGCTACCTCATCACATGGTTCCTAATGCTTCAGTATTTCTCACGTCCTTTAGCTTAGCACTGGCGATGTTGTACCAGTCATCCACACCATAAACAAAACTGTGAGTTTAAATTTCTGTTCTGCAATTCTTTCAAATTTCTTCAGAACTTTATTGGAAAATTAATTTTCAAATTCAACATTCTGGCAGATGTGTTTTCTTCTTGTGCATATGATTGTCTTATCTCCTCCTGGCCCTGTTTGATTCTCATTGGATTCAGCAATATTCCAAATTTAGAAACTGAATTTGATATTTTGTATACTGCATTGCACTTTCTATAAAGGAAATTTTCTAAGAATTTTGTTCAAAAGCAAATAAAAATGCCAGTGTATATGATAAATTTGTTGTCATATGTCATTTTAAGATATATGTATGCGTAGCAATAATGGTCTTTGTTTTCATACTACAATTATTGAAATGTGTCCAATACTGTGCTGTTTTCTATTGGAAATATGTAAATATGTAGAACTTTAGTATATAAGCACTGTTGATAAATGTCTGTCATGGAAATGAAGTTGTACAAGACTGTGTAAACATTGTTTGTGCAGGTATCAAGGCTGTTATTATTTTCACTGTTTTACTGAAAGCTTGAAGTAAAAAGGATGTATTTTCCATGAAAGTTATAAAAAGAGCTTTGGTTTTCTCTACAAGTTTTATTTCCAAGGTATTTTGTGATTTTATTCCTTGGAAAAAGGCCAAAACTGGAACCCCTTGAATTACAACTTTCACAGTACTTTTTTTCCTTCTAGTTTCAGGAAATGAATTTAGCAGTTCTATAATGAATTGTGTCCAATATGTAAGATACAGGATAGGCAGGTGTTTTCAGATGTCCATTTACAATCAAAAAGATGAAAACAGATAATGTTTCTGTTGATATTGTACAGCTAGTAACTGCAACATTTATGTACATCAGAGATAGCAAGGGAGGTAAATCTTGGTCATACAACACTCCTCAGTGGAAGTTGTCATGAGAATACTAGTTGGGATGTAAATATATGCCAATACATCCCAACAGGAGTTGAGATTTACGAGAGACCTACAATTTATTGTTTACCTTCAGTATTGATGTAAAGGGTTTATGTATACATACAGACTACTGCTACACACACGTTGTTAATGTGTACACATCTGTATTTAACGGTGCAAGCTCTGTACCAAACTTGTACATGTTTTGATACCATATGCTATATGTTAACACAACAAAAAACTGTGAGAGAGGGTACCTGTAAATTGTATATATCTTCATGTCAAGATTAATGTAATGAATGAGAATCAATCATTGTGTTTGGTGGGACAGAGTTTACATATTGTGCTGAGTATGGATGTATGGATGTATCATAGGGCTGCTTGTGTGTTCATTTTAAGTATGTGTGCACTTGGGAGGGTCTGCAGCCAGTTAAAGTCATGTCTCTATCCTGGCTAGTGGTCACCTATATATATATCTCTACTGTGTAGCCACTAAAGACAGTGCTGCAGTGTATAACATGGCTTTACTCTCAGCAAAGGCTCCTCTCTGGCATTTTATACATGAATAAATAACTATAAATATCAACTAGTTTTCAGTGTCTTATTGGTTTGTTTCTACACCACTTAGATACCACAAGCCCAGGGAGCCAACACATAGCCTCACAAGTAATGGGTGCTGAAATATTGTCTACAGAACAGGGTGGACTTACTACAGAATATTGAAATAGTTTTGTTGGCAATTATTACAAAACATTGAAATAACATTTGTTGGTAATTATTCCTGAATATTGAAATAGTTTTGTTGGTAATTACTACAGAATATTGAAATCGCATTTGTTGGCAATTAATGAAATAGCATGTTTGTTATCCTACAGAACAGGCCTGGATGAGCTTATTGTCTGATTAATACACTGTGAGAATGGATTTAGAACCTGATATGCTGTAGGCTTGTGATTACAGTAAAGTATTTTTATAGGGAATATTGTGCTATTTCAAACTACATTAATGTGATCGTTCAAATTTTATCTCTAAATAATAAAGCCTGTATAGACATTATCTGTGGTATAAACTGAAACTTGGGACTTGTCACAGACGTACCAAAATAAGTGATTTGGAACCGATGTAATGGTGATGTTGATTATTTGTTACACAGTACAGAAGATTCAGTGGTATCCACTGATCAAGGAAAATCTGGAAAATTTTGACACACGAAACTGGCTATAAGAAATACACTGAGATATGTTTATACAAACAAGAGGACTATCAAAAGTTTTACACTCAGAAACTTCCTCTTTTATATTATCTTATTATTACCTGTAAATGTACACAGTTTAGTGCAATCAAACTTTAGCATATTATCATGTTTTGGTAAATTGGTGCAAAAATTAATTTGTACATCGAGAATAATTCCTATGTAAAAAATATCTGGACATGACAATTATTGCAATCTAATCACAGTGCAATAATTTCAGCACAAATATCCTTGAAATAAGATTATCTCCAAAACATGTACATTTACAATATACTAAAAATTACATCACCTCAATGTTATATATCGTTGATGTAGTTGAAAATGCAAAGTTGAAGTTTCGTCCTGTTCGAAAGGTTTTAAAAGTGATGACATCTTTTAAGTTTCTTTAAAAAAAAAGAAACGCTTTTCAGTCGTTTAACTTTAACTTTACTGAAGGCATTTGCCACTTGGAAACATATACAAGGGAATAGTCACTTTAACACACGAACTCAACATGCCACATCAGCAAGTAGAAAGGGGAGATAACTGATGAGAATTAAAAATGGGGACACAAAAAGGCAGAACCTATTACTGTAGGCATTCATCAGGCTGATCCAACTAAAGGCAGTGTTGACTACTTTTAACATAAGCACAGTAAGATTGTACATAATCAGCTGTAAGCATAGGAAATCAGACACTCATTTCATTGAAAGCAAAACCAACATTGTAATCAGTTACAAGTGAATTGTGTTTTCCTTTTCATAACAGAATGTTGAGTAGTTATCTCCCTTCAATCACGTAATTGTACCAAATGGCATTCCACAAAAAATCACAAAAGCCAAAAATGGCGAAGGAAAAAAAAAGAAAGTAAAACATATAAGAAACAGACAGAATCAACTTTCAATACATAACATTTCACAAAATAGCACAACACAATATCATCCATACCATTAAATGTATAATATATATATATATATATAAGTATATGCATATCTTAATATAATACTTTTCATCAAATATGGCAGGCATCTTACAATTGATTCAAAGTATTATATAGAAAATTTCTGATTGAAAGCACTCATAGATCTGTTTTACGTAAAAAGGAGTAAAGATGAACACATGATAAAGTAGAACTTTCAGTCTGCCTTCAAGCTAAACCATTAAAATGAAATAAAGGCTTCTGTTGTATTGCATACTTCTAGGTAAATGAGAGTCACATCTAATGTCTGTCTTCTTTCTCTGCACAAATGGTTAAATCATATTAATGTAAATATCAGCACAAAAATAAACATTCATGTTAACAATTTCTCTTCCTTTAACTTCCTTGTGCATTAGAAAGAGTCATTGTAAAATGAAAGAATATTTTCACTCAAGTGACGGACAACAAACACCGCCATCGTGCCAGTACATGTGATCAAATCGATACATATATCTCGTAATCGATGCATGTTAGTTAAGTAAAAGCTCGTAGTGTAAAGTACTATAAATTGGTTTTGATAACAAAAATTATATATGTATTCTTAATAAACTTCAAAAGATTTAAATACTTTAAACTTAAATTCCATGTACCCAAAAAATGATTGCCTTAATATTGTAAACTTAGATCTACACACATACATGACAAATTGTAAGTGTATCATTCTAATAGGGCAGATTATGTCCTGAACATGTGAATTTGCTTGGCCTAAACATAAACGGTAAAGTTGACAGCTATCATCTGATAGGCATCACATCTTACTAAACATATATTTTTTTCCAAACATATACATTTACTTTGGCACTTGATTTTCTTCATAAAATTCAATAATGGTATTATCTTTGTTAATATCTGCTCATCAATGCGTGAACATAAAATTCAATAATGGTATTATCTTTGTTAATTTTTATATATAAATTCAATGAGATTACAGTAAAAAGTAATATGTCAAGGTGGAGATTTACCTCATCAGAACTTTCTGTGGAAATTAATTCCGTTTAGTGTTTCTTCTACATTTAAAAACTTGATATTCACAGTTTGCAGTGATGAACATAGGTCATTGAAACTGTTGATTAGATTGTCATGGTTTTTGACCATGAAAATTAAGAAAACGGTAGTACACATAGAAGCAATATCCTCCAAGGAAAAATTCGAGAAGTCACAGAATTAAAAGTATTACGCAATAATGAAATATGTGTAGCTGTTTGGCTACTTGTTAACACATAGCAGGCAAATCCTATTTTTGTGTCGTTGCTTCATAAATCTAACCACACAAGAACATCATAGACTAAATATACAAGTAAAGAACACTCATTGGTGGTTCCTTTCCGAATCCTTGTCCACATTACAGGGTGTAGTCTAGGCAGAGACTTGATAGAGATGGAGAAAAGGAATCCTTCTCCAGTTGTGCTAGTTGTTTTAACCATCAGGTACAGTCAGTTCTGTTTCTGGGGTATCCATGCAAACTACCCAGATGTCTGAGAAACAATGTAAATATACAGTACTCCATTACACACATACCACAATCATTAAATCATGTTCTTCAACACGGATTTGAAAACAAAATTAGAAAAAAAGGTACAAAGTAATGCAATTTGACATCAAACAGAAAGATGAGTTAATTATACAACCTGTAACATAATTGTAATCTACATGGAGCTGAGTCATTACACCATAGAAAATCAATATGTTTTCTGGGTATCGAAAGTAGAATTCTGAAACAATGCCAGGTAAAATCTCTGTTTACAGGAAAAATGTCCATTTTCTAAGACATAGCACCACAAAACTGACCGGGATCTGGTGCTTCTTACATACAGGTCATCATTCCTCCTAAGAAATTTCTGTTTGGTGTAACCAAAAGGTCAAATCATTATTCCTTTCTCAGAGACTGCATTACCGGAGAATATTTCGGTGTATTTAATTGCTGAAGGATTTTTCAACCTCAGGTACCAGATCTACTACAAGGATTTTGTTGGCCAATGAAATAATGACTTGGACTTGTAAGTCATTATGCTAAACATTGGTATCATATACAAAAGACATTATTGTATTATTATATCATTACAGATTACAGACACTATTCTGATATTACATTATTACAGAATTGTTACGACACTATTCTGATATTATATTATAATAGATTTGTTATGACACTATTCTGATATTATATTATAATAGATTTATTACGACACTATTCTGATATTATATTATAATAGATTTGTTACAGTATGCAAGTCTAATGAGGAAATAAGATCATTTAAAATGAAAATGATTTGACTAGATTCTCTTCCACTGACAGAGAAAAAACCAACTTAACTCATAAATACAATTACGTATTGAAAATAATTTTCAAATCAAAATCTTCATCACAACTATATATGTATATAAACTAGGGTTTTTTCAAAACATTACTTGGAAAATCAATAGATGATACTGACTTAACAAGTAACACAACTTCATTCACAAAAGCATAGAATAAAGCAAAAATAGTTGACAATCAAGCTTTTAGTTGCTTTATGATCCTTTGAAGGATAAAGACTGTCTAGAAAAAAGAGTTCCATGGAAACAGCTATAAATACTCGTGTAACTTATCTACAACAGGCTTCGTGGTTTAAAAGTATACAATAATACATTTATTTGAAATAAATACAAAATATGAAAAAAGGTCACGATAACACTAAAATAAGTGAATGAAAAACCGAATTTCAATACAATACAAATAAATGTTTATAAATCAATATGTTAGCACATTCATCATATTGCAAGCTTTCTCATATATACTACAGTCGCCAGCACTAAAACATACACTAACCAACAAACACAGTTTACTTAGATCTCAACCCAACAGACACAGTTTATTCTGAGGCCCTTCACACTTGGCCCCACTTCTGGACATCTTTTCCGACTACTCATATGGACCTCGTACCATAAACAACCCCTAATAACTGGCCCCACAATGTGCTTCACGGCAGACATGATCAAGCATCTTTAAAGACCTTGATAGGCCCCCTTGTACCATGCATGTTATATGGCCCATGCCATTGCATGCAAAAAAGACTTGATGATCACATCTTGTGATCCAAAGGCCCAAGCATTCAGAGCTAAAGCTCGAAACATGTATAGGGACCCACATCATGTACATACAATTTTTATACCATAATTATCCATTCAAACACATGCAAACAATCTCCTTATTAATGTGACTGGGAAGACTGCAGTCCGTGGCATGTAAAGGCGACTCCATATCAAATCATACAGTAGGCCCCTGGCATGTATATGGTGACTACATACAAAACCATACTGCAGGTTCCAGGTATGGATATGGTGAACCCATTCCAAACCATACAGTAGGCCCCTGACATGTATATGGTGTCTTCCAAACAAAAGGTTGGTCCTTAGCATGTACATAGAACTGCACTACAAAATGACAAAAAGAGCAGAACATGTACATGGAACCTCTACGTTTAGCAATCATCAAATTTTTTTGGATGTATTTTACTAAAAGTCCATGCATTGTTGGCATTTCCCTAGCAAACTTATAATCACCTACAGGACATATCTCCAGATTTATAAGTAGAACAATGAACAGTCCTACTTGGTGACTGGCTTTTTATCATGTCCTACAACCTCTCTTACCTGTACATGACTGGGGCCTTATATATTTAGCTTGTCCCATGACACACAGAGAGCACATTCACACAGCCATTGGCAGGTCACAGCAGCCCATGACTACTTAAGGTCAACAGAATCACACAGAAAATAGGGTCCGAGAGCTGACCACATTCACTGATGATCAACAAGAATGAAACAACAAACATCGGAAAAGATGATTTGCTGCAGATCATCAACATTTTTCAGGTGTATCAAGACAATGTATCCGATTTCTTATCTATCAGAATCAGAAACCCATGAATGGCTTGATCTTATGACTACTCATGATCATTGTTAATAGCTACATAATCTTTCCTAACTGAAATGAAAGTGAGCATCTTGATCAACCAGAGTTTGACGTATAACTGACCCCTCAGATGCACACTCTCACATCTGTTTTCAAAACTCAAGCCGGAAGGCAGAGCAGCTTGTCTCATGGTCCTGTAGCTGGATTGTACATCTAGAGGCAGACGGGGCAACATCAACATTGAGATCACAGAGGCGGTCCTTGTTGAGTCCCATCCAGTGGCGTATGGTGTCATTGTCATACGTTGGGATGATGGTGACTTTGAGGTCCTTGTCCTCCCATGTCTGTTTGGCATCCAGGAGGGCGTTCAGCACTTGTGAGTTGGGGGACAGGGAGCTGAGGACGTAGTACCTGGCTCGGATACGTTTGAAGAACTCTATGTCACTGTACTGGGGATTTCCATGGTTTGGTATGTAAGATAAGTCCATGTAGAAGGGAGTCATGGGTGGAAGAGGAGGGCTCTTGAAAGTGGCAGGGGATGCTCGACTGCCAGTGGCTGTTGCTGGTCTTCTGCCTGTAGACTTGGCTTTGGACTCTGATGATGAAGAAGTAGCCGCACTAGATGGGCGGGCCTTTGTGGTAGTGGATTTCACACCATTTGTCTTAGCAGTTTTAGTAGTGGAAGGTGCACCATTTTTCTCTGGCTTGTCTCCTAATTTTGACCTGTTTAACTTTGCAGAATCTGGTCTCTTAGTTGCTCCAGATTTGGCTTTATGTGTGCTCTTCTCTGTGGCTTTACCATTGGCTGTTGGCCCAGGAGACCCCTCGGGAGGTGGTGGAGCAGGCAGCCCCATTGGTTCTCCCCACTCTTTAGGATCAAAGCCCTGTCCATTAGTCCCCCCTTGGAAGGGATCTAAAGGCTGACCAGAACAGGTAAAGGGGTTGGTACTTTGTGTGTTATCAGGTAAGAATGGATCAAACGCTGCAGCTGCTCCATCTGCTGGGCTGGCCTGATGTGGTGCACTGTCATTTATGCCAGTGAATGGATTAAAGTTAGACTCTGTGCTAGGTTCTGGCTGCTTTTCCTGCATACCTATTAAGGAACTGTAAGCTCCTGCCTGGTAGTCATCATTACCTTCATCTTGCTCTGGAAGTCCTTCATCTTCTTCTTGCGAGTCCTCGGATTTCAGATCCACTGGATCAGGGGTTTCATCTTTCTCGAAGGCTTCAGGAATGTTTGATACTTCCAAATAGTCTCCATTCTGTTGCTGACTTTCCTCCAAAGAATCATCTATAACCTTAACATCATCATGTGACACAGCTCCTCCATCTGCTACATCTTCTGTCTCCTCAAGCTCTTTAAGATCATCTTTGATGTCTTCGTCTTTTTCAAATGCATCAGCACACTGATGCCCATCGTCAGACTGAAAGTCTTCAACTGGCTCTGTGGAAGGTTCATCCCCAACTTCTTCACAAGACGCCTCTGTAAAGCCTTTGTTCTCAAAGGCATATGGTGAAACATCCTCTTGAGTGTCATCTTCAGGAAGAACTGTCTCCCTAACATCACCCTGACTATCCATTTCATCTGGTGAGACATCTCCCTCATCTTCGTCATCAACATCATCCAGAGCATGGTCAGACACATCAGCCTTTTCTTGTGGTTGTTCTTGCACTATAGCGAAAGGTGAAACTTCAGGAGTCTCAGAATCCTTAATTAGAACTTCCTCTTTTTCTGGCATATCCTCCAGAGGATCGGCAGATATCACATCCTCTTGTACATCATGCACCTGCTCTGCAACATCTTCCTCTTGTTCTTCTGGCATATTGTCCAAAGAATCTTCAAGTACTTGATCTTTCAGATTTTGTTCTTCTAGCATATCAGCTACAGGATCTGCAGGTTTTATCTCTTCATGTACATCAAGTTCTTCATCTCTAATATTTTGTTCTTCTGCCACATCATCTACAGGATCTGCAGGTTTTATCTCTTCATGTACATCAAGTTCTTCATCTCTAATATTTTGTTCTTTTGGCATATCATCTACAGGATCTACAGGTTTTGTCTCTTCATGTACATCAAGTTCTTCATCTCTAATATTTTGTTCCTCTGCCACATCATCTACAAGATCTGCAGGTTTCATCTCTTCATGTACATCAAGTTCCTGATCTTTAACATTCTGTTCTTCTTGCATGTAATTCAGTGGATCTGCAGGCATCACTTCTTCTTGTACATGAGATTTCTGTTCTATGACATCTTCCTCTACTTGTTCTGGCATATCTTTCTCTAGTTGTTCTGCAGGTTTCATGTCCAGTTGTCCATCAGTTATAACATCTTCTTGTTTCTGAAAATCAGGAACATTAGCCTCGTCAACAGGAGAGACTTGCTTCAATTCTTCCATTTGAGTATCTGCCTCCATTTTGTAATTTGTGGCATAAAGATCAAAATTGTCCTTCGCTGGTTGTATGGCATTTTCCTCTACCATGTCTGGAGATTCCCTGCTTGGAGGATCACTAGGGACCTGGTCCTGAACATCATCTAAAGAGACAGGTCTGTCTACATCCTGAACTGATGGTTGAAAGTCAGGTTCATTTTTGAAGGATGGTACAACATCTGGCTCTACTGGAATATCCCCAACATTTGATTGAGGGACTTCAGGGCAAAGCGGTTCCTTTGTAATGGGGGACATTTCTGGTATTAAGTCAGGTTCTTGGGGGGAGTATGCTACAGGTTCTGGTAAAGATTCTGGCTGTATGAGGCCAGTCTCGTAATCGTGATCTCCATTCTCTACAGAGACATCCTGTGGAGCCAACAGGTCATTCTGTAGGTCCTGGTGAAATGAGCCATACATAAGGGAGCTCTCCCCCTGGTCTGGAGCAACTTCATATTGATTTGGGTCAGGCAGAGGATCTGGGGACTCCGACTTCTTCTCTGAATCCACTAAGGGTTCTTGTTGGGGTACTAGGGTGTCAGCCATGGATTTCAGTGGTTCTTCTGGGGTGATATCTATAAGTGAAGTTTGGGTCCCTGACAAAAGATCAACAGCAGGAGGTACCACTTCCTGTACTGGTTCCACAAGTGGTTCTTGTGAAGCAACAACTGGAGCCACACTTGCTACAGGCATTGGGGATTTTCGTTCTGGGGATGGTGTTTTCTGTTTGCTTGGTGTTGATTTTTCTGCTTCTTTTTTAGCAGAGGGTCGTGGTGACTGTGTTGACATTGGTTTCTTTTTAGCCTCAGTAGGAGATGGCTTCTTTGGTGTTGAGCTTGCTGGTTTCTTTGGGGCAGGTGGATCGGCTTTAGTAGATTTTGAAGCTGTTTTGTTAAGGAGGGAGGGTTTAGATTTTGTTATCTTGTCCTCTGCCTTCTTCTTATTTTCATCTTCCTTTGATACTTTGTTTGATCTGCTTGTTGCAGCAGGTCTAGGGGTAGATTTATTCTCAACTTTCTTCTCTGGTGTTGGTTTTGCGGCTGTTTTAGCTGATGCTGGGCGCCCAGCTGATCCACTGGCTTTCTTTGGAGCAGGCTTAGCTTCCAGATCTTTTGGTGTACACGTTGCTTTCTTTAAGAATTTCAAGTGTTTTAATTTTTCCAGTCCCTCAATAATCTTATGTTGCGGGGCATTTCCTGGGAAGAAAAGGCGGTTGATGTCTGCATCTGGATCGGATGGTTGCCACACTAGTAAGCAGCAGATTGACAGCATGTTTGGAAGTGGTACATTCTGGGTAGAGCCAAACTCCATCACCTGCTTGTTCCATTGTTGGTAAAAATCCTTTAGCTCTTTGCTGTCAGACACAGGGTTCAGTATGTACATGTCCAAGGATCCGTGGCCAACTTTGTGATACAGGTTCACAGGCATGACAGTTGAAGTTGTGCCAACTCGGGAACAGGGCTGAGGTGTGGGTATAAGGTTCTTTGAAAATTCCAGTAACTTGCTCCCCTCTTCTGCTAAATTAATAGCTAGCTGGGGCTCTTTATCACTGAAACCATTGAGCTCGGCATCACCTGCCTTGTCAGAAGCATTTAAGTACATAAAGCCTATGTCAGGATGGATTGTCTCCATGCTCTTCCTTCTCAGAACAGAGCTTATACCAAAAATATTATCAGCACCGAGATGGGTCATAAGTACAGCATCAATACGATCAAGATGGCGGGCAAAGTCCCAAAAACAGGATTTCCTGCTGTATCCACCATTGACTAAAAGATTGAAGCCACTGATACCAAACATAGCAGAGTCTCCTTCACAGGCTGGGAAAATGTACAGGGTCGGCTTGCTGAATCGAATGTTACCTACAACGTCTGATGTACGCATTAACTGCTGGATGGTTTTAGCATGTATAAAGCTACCTATGTATGTCGTAAACTGTAAAATGCCATTGACATCTGACAACTTTTCCTCCGGATTTAGCTCCAGAGTGAGGCTTTTACAGACATCAAGTTTGCTGATATTAGAGCTTTTCCATTCCCCTCCTGTGTTACAATAAATTGTCATCTTGCCACCATCCTGCTGTTTCAAAGCTGCCTCAATGTCGCTATCTTTGCAGAGACGCCCCAGCTGAGATACGGTGAAGCAGTCATCCTGTAGGACCCAGGATCCACTACCACCAAAGTAGTGCCCAGCATAAATAAGGTGTCGAATACCAGCAGGCATCATCAGGAAGGTTTGTAGGGATTGTTGCAAGGTTTGAAGACGAGGGTTAACAAGGATTTCCATAGCAACCTTCTCTGATCGGTGTTGGATTGTCCTCTCATCTGCAATGACAAAATGGAAAGAAGATTAAGTTATATGATTTTTTGCCTGTCAAGTTTTACACATTGTAGGCTCCTTATCTCAACAATACTTTGGTAAAGGCTATGTTTTTAATGATTTAATGATGGTTTTATTAATTAAATGATGTGAAATAATGAAAGATTCATATTTCCACCATGCATGTATCTTATATTCATAGTTGTTACCCACTTTTTCATTCTTAACTCCTAATAAGCGAACAAAAAAGAAAATTAGACAAATTTGATGAATTTTTCATAGTTCAGGAAATATATCATAAAATTGTGACAGCAGTATTTTCAACAAAGAAACACATATCTACAATAAAAAATCTGTATTTTAAAAATACTGGCCATAAGCCCATTCTCTGTAATATATCCTATATCTTAAATCCCAACAAATGCTACTTCATAATATTGCACTGACTTTGAATCTAATATTATGTTGTGCCCCCCTGGGTTCAATGTGAATTAACCATGGTAAACGTTTATCACAGTTTCAATTCTGAAGCAGCAGGAAAAGCTGCATCTCTAGGATTGGAATCATGTTTATGAAACAGCTGAAGTCAAAATGATATTTTGGTAGGTACTCCTGCTTGATAAATGATATGAATATTGACTCTGACCTACTAAGGCTACTGATCATTTCAGGGTGCTGATGTGTTGACTGACTCCTACTCAGATAGGCTATCTATTAACATATGCTGACATGATTCCTCTAGTTTAGTCAGAGATAACTTCTTGACTTTTTGTTTGACCTCAGGTCATCAGGTCCTCATATTACACATAAGTGTATTATAACAAGTGTTCAGTCTCCATCAGTATACTTTTATGGTATAGTCCTAATGTTACAAATCTTCACCAGTATACAATTGTGGTAAAACCCCAATGTTAGGAGTCTCCACCAGTACACTATTGTGATATAGCCCCAATGGTAGGAGTCTCCACCAGTACACTACTGTGGTATAGCCCCAATGTTAGCAGTCTCCACCAGTACACTATTGTGGTATAGACCCAATGTTAGGAGTCTCCACCAGTACACAATTTTGGTATAGCCCCAATGTTAGGAGTCTCCACCAGTACATTATTGTGGTATAGCCCCAATGTTAGGAGTCTCCACCAGTACACAATTGTGGTATAGCCCCAATGTTGAGAGTCTCCACCAGTACACTATTGTGGTATAACCCCAATGTTAGGAGTCTCCACCAGTACACTATTGTGGTATAGCCCCAATGTTACAAGTCTTCATCAGTACACTATTGTGTTGTAGCCCCAATGTTAGGAGTCTCCACCAGTACACTATTGTGGTATAGCCCCAATGTTAGGAGTCTCCACCAGTACACTATTGTGGTATAGCCCCAATGTTAGGAGTCTCCACCAGTACACTATTGTGGTATAGCCCCAATGTTAGGAGTCTCCATCAGTACACTATTGTGGTATAGCCCCAATGTTAGGAGTCTCCACCAGTACACTATTGTGGTAAAGCCACAATGTTACGAGTCTTCATCAGTACACTATTGTGGTACAGCCCCAATGTTAGGAGTCTCCACCAGTACACTATTGTGGTAAAGCCCCAATGTTACGAGTCTTCATCAGTGCACTATTGTGGTATGTTAGGAGTCTCCACCAGTACACTATCGTGGTATAGCCCCAAATGTTAGAAATCTCCACCAGTATACTTTTTGCATTATAGCACCAACTGCAATATATTTATTAGCACCAGTGTTCAAGCTAAAGGCCTTTAAAATGCATTATAATTTAACAAAGTTATGCTGACAATGTTGAAATTTCAAAGAGATTGTGATAAATCAAAATTATCTCTACAAAATTCTGGAAATATAGACAAAGTCATCTAAAATTTTTGATAACAAAAGTCTGACTTGATTAAACAATAAGTTTACAACTGGATAATTGTACTGAACATTGGCTAGCCACAGCAACATAAACTTCATTGAGTAAAGCTGGCTGATACTTCCCCGGACCTTCATGACTTCAGATCAACTTAATATATATTTAAAGAATCAGTGGTATTCTGGCATAGTCTCAGGTAACTAATGTTAGCCTCTAAATATTTTTCTATATAGCAGGTTAACTAATATTAGAGACTCTAAATATTTTTCTATCTAGCATTATATATGCAAACTTGGAAGCACTTGGCCTGGCTGATTTATTCATGAAACTGTGCTAAACCAACATTCAATACAAATCAGAGATCTCATAACTGACACTTTACAGAGGAATGCCATATCAACCCTTCAAGGATATAAATTGCACAGAAAAAAAACATCATGTAAATCTTATTAAGAGATTAACTAAATTTGACGAAGACATATTGCAAGTGTATATTCAATCTTATGAAAACTTAGAATGTGGAAAGTATAGGATACAAAATGTGTAGACATTGTACAAGATACTGTCGCTGATCATTGTGGTCACCATGAAAACTTACATCGTGGTCGCCATGAAAACTTACATACATCGTGGTTGCCATGAAAACTTACAGAGTGGTCGCCATGAAAACTTACAGAGTGGTCGCCATGAAAACTTACAGTGTGGTCGCCATGAAAACTTACAGAGTGGTCGCCATGAAAACTTACATCGTGGTCGCCATGAAAACTTACAGTGTGGTCGCCATGAAAACTTATAGAGTGGTCGCCATGAAAACTTACAGATTGGTCGCCATGAAAACTTACAGTGTGGAGAGTATAGGATACAAAATGTGTAGACATTGTACAAGATACTGTCGCTGATCATTGTGGTCGCCATGAAAACTTACATACATCGTGGTCGCCATGAAAACTTACAGAGTGGTCGCCATGAAAACTTACAGTGTGGAAAGTATATGATACAAAAGGTCTATAGACATTGTACAAGATATTGACTCTGATCATTGTGGTCGCCATGAGAAATATGCAGAAGTTAATGACAGCATTATTCTGAGCACAAACACTAAATACATCACACAAGATATGGAGATTTTCCAGGGAACTAACCTGAAGATCAATATTTCCTTATTGAGGACCTTTAATACTCATCAATCTGGTCTATCATTCCTTTAGATAACATCAAAATGGCCCAAGTAAAAGGAACAGATGCAGTAAAGATGACTTTAAATATGAATGCTTTAAATGAAGGGATTAATATGTCTATTTTGCTTTGAGCATATAACAAATAACAAATTCACAGAGAGGTCTTGGCCGCCTTTCTCCTCTTATTGGCTTTAATGATATGAAATATGAGAATTCCTCTCAAGAAATAGCAATAATAACCTTCAACTGTCAACTAAAAGATGGTTGCCTGCCAGTAATTTGTTTATCTGACAGTCCCACAATGAAAAGGCCACAACACAGGGAACCTACATACGAAATCTGAAAATGATGAATCCAGTGTTTCTCAAGAGATAGCGATAACAAGAATTGTTAAAGGACTGATGGATGGATGACAGACAACAGACCACAGATGTAGGGCACTCTAAATATTTAAAAAAAAAACACCTGTATACTGCTGTGTGACAGACACACCTGTATACTACTGTGTGACAGACACACTTGTATACTACTGGGTGACAGACACACCTGTATACTACTGGGTGACAGACACACCTGTATACTACTGTGTGACAGACACACTTGTATACTACTGGGTGACAGACACACCTGTATACTACTAAGTGACAGACACACCTGTATACTATTGTGTGACAGACACACCTGTATACTACTGTGTTATCCTACTGTGTGACACACACATCTGTATACTACTGCATGACAATCACACCTGTATACTACTGTGTGACACACAAATCTGTATACTTCTGTGTGAAACACACATCTGTATACTACTGTGTGACAGACACACCTGTATACTACTGACAGACATATCTGTATACTACTGTGTGACACACACATCTGTATACTACTGTGTGACACACACATCTGTATACTACTGTGTGGCAATCATACCTGTATACTACTGTGTGACACACACACCTGTATACTACTGTGTAACACACACACCTGTATACTACTGTGTAACACACACACCTGTATACTACTGTGTGACAGACACACCTGTATACTACTGTGACAGACACACCTGTATACTAGTGTGACAGACACACCTGTATACTACTGTGTGACAGACACACCTGTATACTACTGTGTGACACACACATCTGTATACTACTGTGTGGCAATCATACCTGTATACTACTGTGTGACAGACACACCTATATACTACTGTGTGACAGACACCTGTATACTAGTGTGACAGACACATCTGTATACTACTGTGTGGCAATCATACCTGTATACTACTGTGTGACACACACACCTGTATACTACTGTGTAACACACACACCTGTATACTACTGTGTAACACACACACCTGTATACTACTGTGTGACAGACACACCTGTATACTACTGTGTGACAGACACACCTGTATACTAGTGTGACAGACACACCTGTATACTACTGGGTGATAGACACACCTGTATACTACTGTGTGACAGACACACCTGTATACTACTGTGTGACACACACATCTGTATACTACTGTGTGGCAATCATACCTGTATACTACTGTGTGACAGACACACCTATATACTACTGTGTGACAGACACCTGTATACTAGTGTGACAGACACATCTGTATACTACTGGGTGACAGACACACCTGTATACTACTGTGTGACACACATCTGTATACTACTGTGTGATACACAAATCTGTGTACTACTGTGTGACACACACATCTGTATACTACTGTGTGACAGACACACCTGTATACTTCTGTGACAGACATACCTGTATACTACTGTGTGACACACACACATCTGTATACTACTGTGTGACACACACATCTGTATACTAATGTGTGACACACACATCTGTATACTACTGTGTGACAGACACACATGTATACTACTGTGTGACACACATATCTGTATACTACTGTGCGACAGACACACCTGTATACTACTG